GGGGGGGGGGGGGGGGGGGGGGGGGGGGGGGGGGGGGGGGGGGGGGGGGGGGCGGCAGGTGGGGAGTGGTGGCTACTGGACACTTGGGGGGACATGTCGTGGGATGAAGCCCACAGGTGATTATTCCCCTGACCTTGTCACTGTCAGACTGCTCAGGAGCAAAACGCCCTGAGCTCTGGTCACCTGCCACGTGGCCACAGAAACCGGTTCATCTTGCCCTCGAAGCCCAGTCAACAAAGAGCAGGGACAAGGCGTTGCCATATTAAACACGAGCCAGACACAAGCAAACAAGCATCGTTTTCCTCCCATAAAACATCTGCTGCCAGCACACCTCGGATGAGGCCCCGCTCCCTCTGCCTTCCCAGAACCAGGCACGTGCCTCACGGTCTTTTGGGGAACCCATGGCTTCAAGGTTCAAAGGGTGATGTAAATGCTGCAGGCAGATCAGGAAGACTGTTTCTTGGGGGGCACGGGTTGGGGAATTTGCGTCTCCTTCATCCTACCATCCCAATGAGACACACCTGTGGGCTGATACGACCCTTCTCTCGATTGCATTTAACTTCAAGTTATGGGATTATTGCAGAAGAGAAATGGATTTCCTGCACAGAAATGACATTCAGGATCACATGGAAAAGACTGTGGCCCAAGAAAGGGCTGCAGTGGGCAGGGACTCTGCGTAGAAGGGAGGACAAGATAATCCACGTGAATTTAAAACGAAGAACCAAGTTTAGGGCATCAACCCAAGTGCTGGAGCCTTGGACCAATTGCCACAGGAGAAAGGGCCTTTGAGAGGCTATAACTGGACAAGACAGTTAAACGAGGGCACGAGGAGCTCTGGTGGCCTGCCTAGCTGTGACTTTCCTCTTTCAGTTGTCACTTCGATGACCACCTGCTCCCTGGAAAACCCCAGAACCTCTGCCTCTCCAGGGAGAAACCATCTGCTGTTTGGACCCCTGGACAGCAAATGCCAAAATACTATCTTCCCCCCTAAAGAGCCGAGGAAATAGGGTCTGGGAGACGAAACCTGACTTAAAGATGAGCGGGACGGGGACAGAGAAGGGACTGAACCCAAATGCAAAGAAACGTGCAAATCCAGCCAGGAAACCAACCACCGACCCCGAAGTGGCCAAGGACCACCCCACTTCTATCTACATCCTGCCTGTGCTGTGACATGCAGAGCTTCTCGCTGTCGGTGGCAGAGGAGTAGCTAAGCCTCCACAAAACAAAACTCAAACCAGGGCAAAACGTATTGACGACACCTCTGAAATGCAACACAATCGATCTTGCTTAGGGAAAGCATTTTAGTTACAGAAATTGAAAAGTGAAAGGGTGTCAAATGACATCTTTTAAGCATGCCCTTTGCCCCGATTCCAGAATGCTGGAGAGTGTAATGACCAATTTATCAGATTATTGAACTCAGGGTCACTCCATGTGGAAAACCAGCACATAAACCAAAGCGTGCTAGCTAGCGCGGACACAGGCTCGGGGCGCACCCGTATTATGGTGGTTTCTACAGTGGCCAATCCAGAAAGAGCACGGAAAAGGTACTGCCACGTCTCTGTATCTGCCATCAGGTAGGTCCATACAGATTGCTCATTGCAAACTTTAAATTTAAAGACCTGGACAGACTCACCACCCAGGGCTCAGCCAGCGGAGGGCATGCCGTTCCGAGCGGACAGTGGGTTTCTTCCCATTCCTTTCCTTGTGCTGGCCACACAAGTGAAGCAGCTGCAGGCAGACATCAAACTTAAATTTCTCTCCTTCTTTGAGGATGGCTATCTAAGTTCAGAAGATAGAGCAAAGGACTTGCTTCAGATCAGATGTCATCAGACAACCCATCAAAGCAGATTGATTGGAGAGGCAAGACCAGGCGCTCGAGGGACGCACAGGGGGTCAACAGCAGAAAAAAACATCACCACTGAAGTGAACGGGAAAAGATTTCCTACACCATTTCCCCAAATTTTGGAGGGGGTAAAAAGAGTGTAGACTTGTGCCCTCTTTTCTGTGCACTGGCTTCATCAGTGTTTGTTCCTCGATGTAACACAAATACAATAGAACGATGTACAATACAGTGCACACCAATAAGATACATTGTACACCAATGAACCACAACATGCACCAATAAAATCGACCTCTGCTGCTGCAATGGCTTCCCGACCGAGCAGCCATCCTCCCCACACTGTCACGCTGTAGGAAACTAAGTAACTAGTCTTACAAGAGAGGACTCAGCCTGTGAAAAAAATCAGGGTCCCTCAGCCAGGTAGGCGGGACAAGCTAAAATCTCTACTTGAAATTTGTTGCCAGGCAACCTGGTTGCCCTGGTCCTTGGAACAGCCTGCAGGGACCCAGTCCCCTGCAAATTCACAAAGAGGGTACACAGACCCACAGGGAGAATTCCACTTCTGCTTATGATCAGCTTTCCACCTGATGGACCACACATACAAGGAACCAAAAACCAAAACCAAAATGTTTTCACCAGTCTAGTTAAATGTGAAAAATCCAAATGATGGTCATTAATAATAATAATAACGAGCACTTAGCATGTGCCAGGTGCGAGGTGCTTTAGATAATCGTCGCAACAGACCTTTGAGGCAGTGTTACTCCATTTTACAGATGGATAAACTAAGGCAAGAGGAATTGTCAGTAATATGTAGCAGGGTTGGTATTGAACTCAGCAGCCTACTTTGAAGGCCATGTTTTTAACCACCACACTGACCTACCCAAAACCCGGGGCTGAGACCAGCCCAGGCGCAGGGAGGTCCTGCCAACCCATGGTTGTCTCCTCCAGTGCCTTTCCACGGATGCCTAGGAGGCTCCTAAGAGACTGGCATGAACCAATGTCAGCAGCCAGTGGTGACATGGCTGACTCCGCACTCCCTTGCACTTTTATGAATTACTTGGCAGAGTGAATTGCGCTGTCTTGTCTGCAGAAAGCGGGGCAGGGAGAGTGCATGCATGAGAATGACAGAGGCTAGTCACAAGAGGGGAGGCAGTGTGGCTCAGTGGGTTTTTGGAGCTGGAGTATCCTGGGCCGAGGCCTCTAGCTCTGTCCCTCCCAGCTGCGTGAACTTGGGGAAGTTACTTCTCTAAGCCTCAGTGTTCCCATCCGTAAAATGGAGATAACCTCAGTCCTGACTTTATGGGTTTGTTTTGTGGGATAAATGAACTCATGCGTGATAACCAGAAGCCACCATCCTTGCCGGAGGGTTTAAAAATTCCACTGATAGGAATTTTCTTTAGCCATATTCTGAGACTCTGCTCACCATAAACACTCCACAAACCAACATATGCTGCAGAAAACACAGCAACTGCCCTCAGTGTACGACAGGGCCTCCATACAAGCACGGACGGACGCCGTTAGGGAACTTCACGGTTACTACTAAAAGGCTTTCCTCACTTTAATAATCCTCTCCTTGCAAGAGCTTTCACAGTTCTTCAAAGTGTTTAATATTCACTAATCAGTGAAACGTTAATGTTTCTAACAAGGAGCTTCTAAAACTAATACACAGATTTTTCAAAGTCCTGTAATCAATCAGTGACAGATTCGGAAAGGAATTCTCAAATCCAGGCCTTTGCCAACCGCCCTTTGATCATACGCTCCATCACAGGGCCATTTTTGAGAACCATTTCCCTCTTCTTCGCAGATGAAAGAACTGGTGGCTTCAGGTAAAGAGAGATCCCCAGGACCCGCCCCAGGGGCTGGCCAGCCAGCCAGCTTCTCCCGTGAACTGGATGCGGCAGTAACACAAACTTCGTGAGGGGGAAAGAGGACGTATTGTGTCGTTTTCTATTTCTGAACAGAATCTGCACTAGATTGTGGCCAACATACGCACCAACTTCCGAGTGTGGGAATAACAGGATTTCAAGACTCACCGGCTGCTGGCAAGGTTCCTTAGGTTATATTTAGCAATGTTAAATTGCCTATTTTTTCTTTCTTTCCCCTTTTTTTTTTTTAAGTAAAAGATAAGGGGGAAGAGCCCGGGCCCAGAGGAAGTGAGTTTCCCGACATGCGGTTCTTAAACAGCCAGACCACCCAACCCGAGGGCCCCGGACGCCAAGAGCGCGCGCTGCCGGGGAGGAAAGCGCACTCCGGGGGCCGCGGCGGCGGCGGCGGCGGCGGCGCCGGCAAGTTCGCCTTCGCGCGCTCGGACGATCCAGCCAGACAAAGACCGCAAGTGCTCCGGTCCGCGGCTCCGCACAGCCGGGGACGCAGTCTCCCCGAATTAGGCCCACTTCCGGCCCGGCCCGGGGGTCCCCGGGGTGCTCCCGGCGGGATCTGGGGTGCTCCCCGCCGCCCGCTCCCTCCGGGGCCCGCACCTCTCCGGGCTGCGGCCGGCCCGGCCCCTCCCGGGCCCCGCGGCTGCAGGCCCACGCGCCCCGCGCCCCTGCCCCGTCCCCGCCGAGGGGCGCCCCCGGTCCCCCGCGGGCCCTTAGACCGCGCCCACACGGCCCCCGGCCAGGCCCTGATACCCACCCGGGTCCCGCAGCCGGGGCCGGATTCGCGCCGGCTCCGGGGGCCGCCGCCACCGCCGCCGCTGCCGCAGCCAGTGAGGCGCGGCGGGGCGGGGACGCGCGGCCAGGCCCGGCCCCCAGCCCGCCCCCCGGCCCGCCCCGGCCCGGCCCGGCCCAACCCAGCGCCCGGCCCGCCCCGCGAGACCCAACCCGGCCCAACCCGGCCCTGCCCGGCCCGGCCCGGCCATGGCCCGTCAGGCCCGCTCCCCGGCCCTGGCACTGACCCCCACACCGACTCAGCCTGGCCCCAGCTCCCTGTCCAATCTGGCCCCCGGCCCTGCCCGAGCCGCCTTCCAACCTCCGGGCACAGGGCTCCAGCACCACCACCCCCACCCCCACCCCGGCCGCCCCAATTCCCGGCCTCGCCGCCGCCGGGCACCCTGGCCCCGGGACTCCGCCCTGGACACTCCACGTGCGCGCTCGCCCTCTCCGTCCCCCCTCTGCATTTGTATCTTTCATATTTGGGGTAGGAAGGGAACGACACCCACCAGAAGGCCACTGGGCATCCCTCCTCCGCCAAGGATTCTTGGCAGGACCCCGGCGGAGGGGGCGCCGAGCGCCCGATGTCTGGAGACGGATGGGCGGGCGCCAGGCGGGGGTCCCGGCCCCCCGAAGGTGCAGCCGGCTCTGGAGCCCCTCGCGCCCCCACCTCCGCCTGCCACCCTGGGGCACTTAGCTGTCCTATGTTCCTGGGTGCCTGGCGCGGTCCCCTGGGGCATCGGAGTTGCCCGGCTGGACACACTTTTACTTGGTTGTCACTTTACAGAAACTGAGCCAGGCGGGGTAGAGCTCGGACTTGGAGATAGAGATGGAGAAAATACGTATTTACGCTTTACTATATTTACATATTTAGGTGTTGTGTGTTGCTCGTGCACGTAAGCGGCACAAAGGCCGCGCGCCCAGGCCGCCCCCCCTCCTCGCGCCTGGTCCCGGCTCGCCGGATGTTGACGACGTCGCCTAGCAACAGGAGATGGCGGAGCCCGGTGGCCAGGAGGGCGGGTAAGCCAGGCCGGGGGACCGCGGGTCTCAGAGCGGCCCCCACACCTGACCTTTTCCATAGCCTCCTCGGCGCCCCTTCCCCTCCATGCTCCTTTCCTCCTGCCTCTGCCCCTTCCAGCCCCACTCTCTGGACCTTTCCTGCTCTCCCAGGCCGCCCCCCACCCCCTGCGTGCCCCCGCTTCCTTCTCACCTCCCGTCCCTTTGTCCTTTCTCGCACCCTCCCTCCTTCCTTGGCTTCAGGCGCTCCACTCTCTGAAACCCGGGACGGGCTCGCCCCGCAGTAACCATGGCAACCACTATGCTTGGCCTTCCCTGCTGCGGAGCCCAGAGCAGGGGTCTCTGCAGGGCTGGGGTCTGCGGGATGCGGTCCCACCTTGACGCTGTGAGAGAGAGACCAGCCCAGCCCCCGCCTCCCTCCTGGAAGGGCGGATACCCCCCCCCCCCCCCCCGCAACAGGCTTGGGGATGGCAGACTGTGGACCAGGGCAGCCCCACGGTGAATGTCCTGAGTGCACAGATAAATGGTAGTTAGGTTAAGATCCTGACACCAGGCCTCTGCTCACTGATGCTTGGTTTAAAAGGATAGAAACTATTTTAAAGTCCTTTTTACGCAATTTTCTCTTACTTTCTATTTCTTTTCCCCAGTTTTGTCACAGACACAAGTGTATTTAAGGTGACTTTTCTGGCATAATCTACTTGTGCTGTCCCTTTAATGCTTCAATAATTGTATTTCTCATTCATTCAGTCATGGAACAACTCTCCTGTGGCACTCTCATGATAGGCATGATGTGGCACTGTGGTTAGTGACAAACGTGACTAAGTTGTGGCCGACAGCCTAGAGGGGAGGCAGATAGTTAACAAGTAAATAAATAGATACAGACGTTCAGGAGATGATCAATGCCAGGAAAAAGAAGACTATTATTTGAAATTGTTAAATTGTTTCTCTGCACCCAGGTCTCACCTGGAAGGAGACGTGGCTTCTGAAGGAGTGGAGAACCAGAAGGATGAAGGCGACGGGGTAAAGGTCCCTGTGGGGTGAACTATTCTGGGCTTGTATTTACTAGCAATTAAAGAGAGTCAGGACTTGCTCAAGAAGACTGTGTGCTGACCCTGTTACCTTGCGCTGGAACAGACTCAATCCAGCTGCAGAGAAACTCAGTTTCCTTCCACCCCTTTCTAGAGTGTTGACAGCTAGTCAGAAACGTCAGGGCTATCCTATTCTTAGATTGAGCTGAGTTTTTCGAAACTCATTTCCTCAAGTGAAGGATGCAAAACAATTACCAAAAGACAGAGAGAGAGTAGATAAAGCATGAAACATAATCTCTTAGTGACGTTCAGAAATGTGCAGATGTAGCCGGAAACAGCCATATGATTACACTATGAAGAATAAAACCTCACAAGAACCTCTAGACTTTGTTTCCTGATTTTTTTTCCTGCCACACGACTACAGGTACCACCAATAGAGAAGAGCAGTGACCAGAAAAATGAGGAAGCTGTTGGTGCTACAGAGCATTCTGAGGGGGAAATCGCAAATGATGGAGAAATGGAAATGGAAGGGGAAGTCGAAACCAATGAGGAAGTCGAAACTGAAGAGGAAGTGGAAACGGAAGAGGATTTCGAATTTGAAGAGGATTTCGAGTCGGATGAGGAAGGCACATTCCCTCACGGAAAGGCCAGTGCTACAGATGTGACTTCTCCAGGAGTCAGTCCTGTGGAAGTGCAGCAAGAGGGAGCAAGGCGGGAAGCTGGACTTGAAGACAGAGAGGCACCCCAGCCATCAGAATCCAGAGGAGCGAGCGTCATCTCCACAGAGCCATCCGAGCAAGTCTTAGGTTCACCTGAGCAAACGGGCCAGGGTGCTTCTCGACGGAGGGTTAGCAAACGGGTGAGTGGCCTGAGGTCTGTGCTACGCAAGTGTTTTACTGCCATGGGGTTTGTCAGCCTACGTGAGGAACTCAGGGTCCACTCTAAACACAGATCACAATCCTTACTAGAATTTCTTAGCAGACTTAGGTCTCTGGATCCATTGCCAAATGTCAAGAGTTTCAGACCCTCCAGAGGTTGGGAGCATTCCATGTCAGGGCATCCAGGTTTCCCCGCTCTGGAGCAGTGCTGTCCAATAAAACATCCCATGAGGGTGGAAATGCTCTTCATCTGTCCAATACGGTAGCCATAGTCACATGTGGCTGGAGAGCACCTGAAATGTGGCCAGGCAGATGGGGAACTGGATTTTTAAATTTTTAAGATTCTAATTATTTCCATTTATATAACCACCTGTGGCTAGTGGCTACCACACTGGACAGGGCAGTCCTAGATAATAATGACAATGGTCACATTCATAGAACTTTCGTTGTTCACTTTTAAGCAAGCACAGACTTATAGAAAAAGTGAAGTATGATAAGAACTTTTTATTTTTTTTTAAGCATTAAAAAGTGCGCTGCCCGTCTGTTGCACCACTGCCTGCCAGCGCTTCCGTGTTCCCACAAACAACCACAACGTGACTATCAAAATCAGGAAATTGCATGATATTACTAAACAGTCCTCAGTCCTCATTCATCAAATGTCCCAATAATGTCTTTTACAGCAGAGGTCCGGTTCGGAATCTCCTGTTGCCTTCAGCAGTTACGTCTCTTTAGTCTTCATCTTTCCTTGACTTTGATGACCTTGATGCTTTCAAAGATCACAGACCAAACTATTTTGTAGAATGTCCCTCAGTGTGGCTTTGCCAGGTGTTTCCTCATGGTGCAGTTTGGGTCGTGGTCCCTTGGCAGGGATGTCACAGAAGGATGCTGTGCTCTCCTTGCATCCTATCGGATGGTGCACCATTGGGCTTGTCCCATTACTGACGAGGTGGGCATGGATCACCTGTCCAGAAAGTGCCAGCCTGCTGCACGTGAAGTTACCCTTCACCCCTTTGCATTTAAGAGGAATTGTGTGGGAAGGAGGGTTTTTTTGTTTAAGATACCAAAGTGAATATTTATTTCATGTGAGAAAAAAAATCACAACAGATTACCACCCTTTTTTTAGAACTTCTTTCTCTCAGCAGTGCATACGGGTATTGCACGACTTTTGTCAGATTTATCCCTAACCATTTTGCATTTTTTGATGCCACGGTAAATGGTTTCCAATAGTTTGTTGCTAGTACATAGAAATGCAGTTGATTGCTGTACATTGATCTTATATTCCGCAGCATCGCTAAATGCCCTCGTTAGGTGCAGTAGCTGTTTTTGTAGAATCCATAGGCTTTTTCACAAAGGTGATCATGTTGTCTGCAAGGAAGAGCAGTTTAACTTCTCCCTTTCCCATCTGGATGCCTCTTGTTTCTCTTCCTTGCCTCACTTCACTGGCTAGAAGCTCCAGCACTACGTTGAATAGAAGTGGCGAGAGCGGGCATCCTTGTCTTGTTCTGGTCTCAGGGGACAGCTCTCAGCCTCTCACTCTGAGGGTGATGGCAGCTGTGGGGTTTTAGAGATGCCCTGTGTCAGGTGGAGGAAGTTCCCTTCTACCCTTGTTGGTTGAGTACTTCTTTTTATCATGAAAGGATGCTGGATTTTGTCAAAAGATTGTTCTGTGTCTATTAGATGATGGCATGTTTTTTCGTTTTTCGTTTATTAATTGGGTGGTTACATTAACTGATTTTCAGATGTTAAAACAACCGCATTCTGAGATAAACATGGGGAGATACTTTGAAACTATGTAAACGTCCCATCCCTCAGAGAACTTTCAATGTGTTCAATTACGTATTTATATCTGCACGGACTCACCGTTCCCCATTTCATTTGCTGGGTTATAACCGACTGCTATCAGTATTTCTATTGATGCTCAAATTGTCCCCAATTTGGCCAGTGAGAGCCCATTTAAATTGGCCTTCGTTTCCTTCTCACACGCCCACATTCTTCTTCTTTTTTAACTGCTGTCATCCTTCGAGCGCTTTCTTGGTCTCTGGCAGAGACGGCCCTAGCCTTAGAGTGAGACATTCCTCTGGGATCCCCATTTCTTTTCATGGAAAATAGAATTTAGAAGTCAAGATTTGGGTGCTTAGGTATTCTCATTGCCACCGGAATGTCACTGTCCCCAGGCCTTCTCAGTATTATGCACACACACCCCACACGCACCACATGCCACACACCACACCATATGCACACACATCACTCACACACCCCCCCCATACGCACATACACCACACACAGACACGTACATAGCTCACACCAACACCTCTCTAACACAAATCCACCACTCAAGGGCCTCCTCCTAGTTCTGGCCCCTTCCGTGTTTGTAACTCCTTTTTCCAACAGTGAGCCGAGTCCCTGCTCTCCTTGACAGACTTACTAATTTGATCAGTCCCCCGGATGTGCCCTTCACTGCACTTCCCCATCCCGAGGCGGACTCTCCACACCCTGCCTGGGCTTGGACACCCCACACTGGGCCACCCTGACTGTGCACACCCTCGTCACCCTGTTGGGCCAGCCCCACCCAGGCCAGCCCCCAGATGTCTGGACCCTGACTCTCTGCGCCAGGCAGTCCTCTGCGGGGACCTCTCCTCAGCAAGCCTGGCCCTGACGCCTGTGCTGTGATGAGCCCCCACGGGGACAGCCCTGGAGCCCGCCCTCCTCATCCCCCCCCCCGCATTAGGCCAGCCCCACCTGCCGGCTTTAGGTTTGAACTGTTCTGGAAGGCAAGCAAGGGGCAGGGCGGGGCCAGAAGAGAACACATTCCATTTCTCCATCATCAACTCTGGGCTGGACACTTCTATGCTTTGAGGGGTATTGTCTCAGGGAATCCTGACAACAACCCTGTGAGGTGGGGACTATTATGGTCCCTGCTGACAGATGAGGAAACTGAGGGGGGAAGGGACCTCCTTGCCCAGAGTCACGCGGCTGTGATGGCAGGTCCCTCTTGCTCTGAAGCCACCGTTCTGAACCACAAAGCAATGATCTCTCCTCGCCCCGTGAAACTAAAAGGGTTAATAACTGGAGAGTAACATGCTCTGACATTCGATGAGCCCTAATTAAGCTGTATGATTACAATGACAAATACATGACCAAAACCACTTTTAAGAATTCAACAGCAACAACAGAATAAACAGTTTCTCACCTTGCAAGATAACCAGGAGCTCTCAAGGGTAGGCCACTTGTTGAGCTATAAGCACCGTGTCCTTCCTTGGGTCTAGTTTCTAGAAAATTTACTGGGAAACAGTTTCCAAATTTGCCAACCACAAGGGCAGAGACAAACCCTATTTCCCTCCCTCCCAGCTGCTGCCCAGTCTTCAGGAGAAATAGGAATCGTGGGGTGGGGGCCGCTGCGTCCAGCGGCTGTACAGACGCCTCAGCGCCTTCTCGTTACGAGAAGCCCTTCCTGGGACCCCTCGGAGGTGGACTTTTGCCTCTGGGCCCCTATTCACGTCAAGATGGTTCTGGATGTCTCAGAAACCATTTACAGAGTCAGCATCATCTGAGGAAGTAGCGTTAGAAAGAGCATGAGGTGGGGACTAAACAGCCCGACTTTGAACCTGCCGTTAGCCGGCTGTGCGAACCTTAGGCAGCGTCTTCAGCCTCCGTGCGGCGCTTCTCCTACAGATGCCAGAAATGACTAGCAGCTGCCTCTCAGGGTCATTGTGCAGGGTCATTGTCCCTTGTTACTAATATTCACCAGTTCATCATCAGCAATAATCATTGTCAGCAATAATAATTGCAAAAGTCTCTTTTAAAGCTAAAATGGAGCCAGGCGTTTTTATCAAGGGAAAATATTTGCTTATCAAAACGTCCCCAAACCTGAAAGAAGAGAAGAAACAGCCCTCTTGGGAGTCCCTCACCCCGGGCTGAGGCTTTCTGGCATCCTTTTAGAAAGAGGATGCTCAGAGATGTTGATTACCATCCTCGGGGAGATCAGCATTTGGGAGCACAGAGACCCACGTCCAACACAGGCCCATGCCTCAGCATTTCCACTTCACTGTAGACCTAGACAGGCACAGACCACTCCTGGATTCCTGGTGGTGGGGGCGGGGGGGGGGGGTAGATGTTTCCTATTTTGACCATTTGCAAAAGCCAAATAATCTTTACATCCAAATGATTTTCTATTGCTTGAACAATTATGTTGAATTTTCAACACTGTAACGAATCAAACTCGAGTAACTTCTCAGTCCTGGTTCAGCCCTCATTGACTCAGGTCCGGTTGTTCTTGCTCTAGGGGAAATCCCGTGGAAGCTCCCAACACAAGGTCTCTCCTCTTGTGGCGCGAAACCGCCTCCGACTGAGCCAAGGGAGCAGCATCGCATCCTCTGACTTTGACGAGCTGCTCCCGCCCCAGGAGGGGTCCTTTGCCCAGGAGCCAGGTACCACGGCACTCACCGAGGCTGTCCTGTCCATGAGATGAGCCACTTCGCATCCCCTCTGTGCCAGGGACACCACTCACTCACCGCCTGTTACCTCGTTTCCTATTTGGCTGTGAGCCTAAAGATAAAAATAATATTAACAGAGATAGATAACATTTATGGAGCACTTACTCTGTTTCATCTCATTTAATCCTTAAACTAACCGATGGGTAGGAACAGTTCTCCATTTTACATAAAGCCCAAGAGTTATTAAGTAACGCATCTGAGTAAGTGGCAGAACCAGGCCTTGACCGAGTCCTGCTGGTGCCCCAACCCACGGACTCTGACTGCCACTTCTCTCCGCCTCCTGATCTCAGAGAGGAGCTCAGCGACACGTCGAGCAGACCGCAACGGGCGTCTGTTTGCTGAGTTTCAAAGGCTTTCCAGGCACAGCCCTGAGTTTAGCTGGCTTCCGTATCCCATACATGGGAAAGCAGATAGGGACATTTCTCATTTTGCAATACATGTGCACGGATGATCCACCTAACAGAGTCTGTGTCACTCACTCACAGGCAACATGAAGCCAGCACAGCTCGAACTGAGTTAAAAACAGAACTGGACCTCTCCCGCTCAGGGGACAGACAAGCTGAAACTAGACCCTCACTACTATTTCATGTCTTTCAATCTTACCAGCTGTTCCCCATTTTTAAAAAAACCAATCTAGTCTATCCGTAAGAAGCCACCTTTCTCTTCACTATGTATAAAAAAGGATCTACAAAACAGATTTCCCTCTGCTCTTTTAAATGTGGTCATGAAGAGGAGATGCTGTGAGCGGCACTTCTGAACCCTAACCATTGGACGCTTGTCGTTCCTCTTTTCCATCACGTTGTGTGAGGCTGGAAACCAGCCTTGCCTGACGACTCCCCCAGAGGGGTGTTATTAACCACCTACTAACGCCTCAATGATGTTCGCTGTGTCCCCCAGCCGTCCCTCCAGAGGAGTACGATGCCCACCCTGGGGACAGAGCCTCGCCCACGTTCCTGGGCAGGATCCAGCAGTTAAGCATGGCGGAGGAAGAGGCCATGGAGAGAATGGAGTCCGAGGGAAGTGACGAGGCCGAAGAGGACAGATCCCAACTGGTGGTTTTGGACCCAGACCACGTAAGCAACTATCCTGAGGTTTTGCTTTTGCCCTACACAGAGGAGGAGTGACCGAGAGGCCCTGCTCTGCCCTCGGCCTCCATGGCCCACTCCGCACCCCTCAGACGCTGTGCCCCCATCTCACCCGCTCACTGGACAGTTTATCTGCACGGTCTTGGCCTGCTGCTTTGTAAAGCATATTCTTCTTTTAGGTTCATACACTCAAAGCCAGGGTTTCTCAACCACAGTGCTGCTAACATTCTTTGTGATGAGGGCCGTCATGGGCACCGTGGGATACTGGTCAGTGTCCCTGGCCTCCGTGCACTAGATGCCAGTAGCAACCGTGTCCCCCCTCCCCCACCCTTAGCTGTGACAGCCAAAAATGTCTCCAGGCGTTGCCAGATGTTGAGTGCGGGCAAAAATCACCCCCACTGAGAGCACTGGCCGTGAGTGTACCAACCAGGTTGTGAGTTCCTTCGCCCACCCCTCTGGCCAGCAGGGAAGGCAAATCTTGACTAGATAAACCCATTTGGAAAGTCACCTTGCTCCCGGTGCTGTGCGAAGGACCCGGAGCTGCTCTGGACAAAGGGGCCGGGCGCTCACCCTGCTCCTGGCCTCCCAGGCACCGCTCATCTCCCGCTCCGGCCCTGGGGGTTGAACTGGGACCACTGCTCAGCTCACTCTGCCACTGTGCCAAAATACGCACTAGGTCTCCAGTGCTTTTAATTTGTGGATTCCAGAGTCAGAATCCGGGCAGAAGTGGGCAGCACCCAGCGTGGAAGTCATTTCTGGCCCACCGAGGGAAAGCTGTGGCAACTTAGGCTAAGCCCTGGATGGGCAGGAGAGTGACCCGGGGTACTTTTTTTTTGTTTTAGCCCCTGATGATAAGATTCCAGGCTGCCCTGAAGAACTACCTTAACCGACAGATAGGAAAACTGAAGCTGGAACTTCAAGAGCTGGTGAGTTCGCCGTCCGGCCCTCCACCCGGCTGCGTGCCCACAGCCCGTGACCCAGCTTCTCTCTCCGGTGCAGAGCGTGGCCACCAAGCAAAGCCGAGTCCAGCGGCAGGAGCTGGGGGTGGATCTCTACGGGGTGCAGCAGCACCTGGCCCGCCTGCAGATGCAGCTGGAGAAGACCCACGACCGCCACTCGATCGCCGCGTGCGCGAGGCGGCAGAAGGAGGAGGAGCTGCGGGACGTGCGCACGCTCTACGCCAAGACCTGCGCGGCCGCCAACGACGAGCGCAAAAAGCGTAAGGCGGCTCCGTGCGCAAAAAGCGTAAAGCGGCTCCGCGTGCAGTCCGGGGCCTCGAGAAAAGCAAGATGTGTTCGTGGCCCGGGGGGTTCCCAGGCTACTTAGGGATGGAAAGCATACATGTCTTAAAACACGCCTAATTCGGCAAAGCAGCAAACGCTGAAACGGAGCATCGTCGGGGTACAAAAGTCAAAAGCGGCAGGGCCTGGCCGGCTGCGCAGGTCTCAAGGCTGCGTGTCCGGAGGCGAGGGCAGAGCCGAAGGGGCGGGCTTTAAACAAGTGGGAACGGATGGGGGAGGCCTGGCCGAAGCACAAAGCCTGGAGCAGGGTGGGGCCCCGTGGCCGGGGAGTCAGGCGGCCTGGGGCTGTGCACAGATTAAGGGGAGCCCGAGTGGCTTTGGACCAGATGGGACAGTGGGCTTGTGACACGTGCTGCGCTCTTACTGCTGAAGCGACACTCCCACACACTCTGGGCGCGGGTTGTAGCTCACAGGGAACAGTGGCTCCGCGTCTGCTGCGGATTTCTTTTAGTCGTTATGGTTTTTCACGTTTCCAACTTTATCAGCTCTGCGTGACCGTGATAACGGGGGGGAATCACCTAAAGGAATGGAGAAGAAAACAGAATCACACGGATATCCCGGCTGTGGCTGAAAAGAAGCGTTTTGGACCCTGAGAAATGCAGGAGAGGGCCTGGATTGATGGAGCCAGGCTAGGGGCTCGCTTATCAAGCGCCCCTCCCCTATTACCACCAAAGTAACAGAAAATACCAAAAAGAGAAGGACACATGTTCACGCCAAAACAATAAGGAGCCCATCCTGCAGATACAGCAGAATTTAGACCAACCTGAAAGAGGACACAGGCCACACGCCTCACACACACACACACACACACACACAAGCAGTGAGTGCCCGCTAGCGCCCCTCAGCAGAGGCTCAGTGCAATGGGCTTCTGGAAAGATGGGAACATCTACGTGGACTTTGTGTCCTTTCTGGAGGTCACCAGAGAGCAGGAGCAGAAGCTGTTCAGCCAAGCAAGGATTCCATCTAAGGCACTGGTTCTCCCTTCCCAGCGGGCGGTCCCAGCCCTGCCACGGGGGCTGCCACTGCACTGCCCCTTAGGGGAAACATGGGTTTTGCCACTGGAGAATGTCCACGATCGCCTGGCTCGCCTGGGAGGGAGGGGAGGCCCAGCTGTCACTAAACCTTCACATCGAAATGTGAGTCATCAGTGGCCGTCTCCAGACTAAGAGGAGACGGACGGGCTGGACAGACAGAGCAGACACCTCCAGACACCAGCCTGATTCCAAAAACAGAGGAGTGCGTGAGAGTGCACCAGGTGATGCTCGGCAGGAGGCTTCAGAGAATAGCACATCAGTAGATGAGAGCAGTGTTAGGAAAACGGATACTTGGAATTACAATAAATAATCATCATCCCCAAAAAAGGGCGCTAAATAGACAAATCAGTACTACTAAAAATTGAACTTGTGAACTGAAAACCCAGTTTGAGGAATTCTCCCCAGAATTCAGAGCAAAAACCCAAAGCGATGGACATTTTGAAAAGGAGATAAAAGACGTGGACCATAGTTGTGGGGAAGCCAATATCCATAAGATGGAAATTCCAGGAGATTAGGGGCATTAACCAATGACAGCAGAGGGAAACACTTGCCTGAGTTCAAGAAAGACAAATCTTCAGATATAAAGACTCACGGAGGCCAGAGGGCTGGAAGAAAGACTAAACACGCCCAGACACAGCTGGCGAAATGCTTAAATTCCAAAGGTATGGGAACAAATGCTACCGGCTTATAGGCAGGGCAAAACCAGATTCCGGCAGGAGGAGAGCGCGACTAGCCCAGGGCAGCTCGTCAGTCGTGGTCTCAACCCGCTGCCCCTTGCAGGGACCCAGGGAGAGCGCCAAGCCCCTGCGACCCCGCCCAGCCCAGAGTCCCAGTTTATTCATTCTGGGAAGGACCAGGCATCATCTGTTTTCTCTCTCTCTTTCTTTTTTTTTTAAGCCTTCCACGTGATTCTAATGTGCAGCCCAGGCTGAGAATCACAGATCTTAAATATAAATGACAGTGTAGTGCTGCTTCCAGAGTTTAAGGGAGAAAGATGAAAAAGAGTCCAGTCTGCACGAGGTTACACACGATTTCGGAATTAATGACAGAAAGCGTCTACGTGTGAAGACTTCCGGGTGCCGCCAAAGGGCCTCAGGTAAACCAGGACCTCTCGGAACTTTATTTATATTTTCATTAACAAGAATGAAAATAAAACATTGTGTTCAAGAAGCGATAAAAGGGCAAATAAACCAAAAGAAGTAGGAAGAGGAAATTAATAAAGTTAAAGAGCAGAAACTGGTAAAATAAAAAATGGAAAATGAGTTGACCTCATCGATAAAAATACTTATTTTCTGAAATGACCGGTAATTTCAATAAACTTCTGGTATGTGCAACAGAGAACAAAAAGGGTATAACATAAGTAACAACCCTTGGGAATGAGGACAAGTCAGAAAAATTATTTTGTATTTCCAGAAAGCTATGCACTGTACTGATTTCATCACTGAAGAAATTTAAAATGTCAAAAATCTATTTTCCCTAAAAAAGTAGCAGTCTTTGAAGGTGTTAAGGAAGAGTCCTGCTAACCCTGAAAGGGACAGACACTCTTTGTTACTCAACCTGCCAGGGGGTGGAAACTCGGGGAGATTCCTCCCAGGCTTGTTACAACGCCCAGTACAATCCTTACCACAGAGGCTGACAGCGCACAAGCACAGAAAACTGTAAAGCAGTCCCACTTACGAGGTGTGGAAATCGTAGTGAAACATTAACAAATTGAGTTTGGCAATATATTAAAAGAAAAATACCCCAGGGCCAGCCCTGTGGTGTAGTAGTGAGGCTCATGCACTCCGCTCGAGCGGCTTGGGGTTCATGGGTTTGGATCCCTAGCGAAGAACTACACATGGCTCATCAAGCCACACTGTGGTGGCGTCCCAAATACAAAATAGAGGAAGACCGCCACAGATGTCAGCTTAGCAGCAATCTTCCTCACCAAAAAAAAAAAAGAAAGAAAAGAAAAGAAAAGAAATACCTCATAGTCAAGAAGGGCTTACTTCTGGAATTCAGGAATAATTTGAAATCAGGAAACCTATTAATTTATTTATTTTATTATTTTGTTTATTTATTTTTTTGAGGAAGATCAGTCCTGAGTTAACGTCTGCTGTCAATCCTCCTCTTTTTGCTGAGGAAGACTGGCCCTGAGCTAACATCTGTGCCCATCTTCCTCCACTTTATATGTGGGATGCCTGCCACAGCATCACTTGCCAAGCAGTGCCATGTCCACACCTGGGATCTGAACTGGCGAACCCTGGGCCGCCGAAGCGGAATGTGCAATCTTAACCGATGCACCACCGGGCCAGCCCCAAGAAACCTAATAATTTAATGCATTATATTCAAAAGTTGAAAGAGAGAGAAAAAAAGATTTCCTGGGCAAATGCTGAATGGATGTTTGATAAAACTCATCGTCCATCCTAAACTAGGATAGAAGGAAAGTTCTTTGTAAGTATTGATCAGAAACTAACAAGAGAAATTTACTCAGTGGAAAGCACTGGAGAGGTTACAGTTAAAACCAAGAGAGCCAAGGGTGCCTGCTGGCATCACAGTGGCATTGTTTTGGAGGTTCCAGCAATGCGAGAAAACAGGAAAAATAAAAGAGGTACAGATTTTGGATGTGAAATGATGAAATTCTCATTCTCTACCAATGATGTGATTGTTTGCCTAGAAGATTCAAGGTCACTGATGAAGAAAGCTAATAGAAACAGTAAGAAATCCATAAAGTAGCTGAATACCATGTCAATAGTTTTTTCCTATGCCAGTAATAGCCAGTTAGGAGTTGTAATTTTTAAAAAATCTCATCCATAATGGCTGTAACAATCCTAAAATACTTAGGAATAAATCTAACAAGAAGTGAGTAACCCTTTCTGAAGAAAAACAATAAAGTTTTCCTAAAAGACCCAAAATAGGTTTAAATAAATGGAGCTCCCACGTTACTGATGGAAAGACACAATATAAAAGTGTCATTTCTCTCCAAATTAGTAAGTAGTTCCAGGCAATTCCAGTTAAAATCCACAATGGGATGTTTTGGGTGCACTTAAACTTTATTTAACATGGTTATTTACTTACTCATTTTCAAAAAGTAATAATTTAAAATCCAAGAAATCAGGAGTGCAGTCTCCAGCCTCCGGCTTCCCCCCACCCTCCACAGAGGCACCCCGTATCATTGGTTCTTGTGCATTCATTTAATGATATTTTTGCATATAAAAGAAACATACAAAGGGGTGTGTATATATATATTTTTTTCTCTATTTTTTACACAAGTAGCTGCAAGTTATACCCACTGCTCTGTTCCCTGCTTTCTTTCACTTATCAGTGTATGCTGGCGATTATTCCATAGCAATACACAAAAAGCTCTCCATTCTTGACAAATTGATTTTAAAGTTCATTTGGAAGACTAAATGCATGAGACTATCCAAGAAAATTTTGAAAAGGAAGGATAAGGAAGGAAATTGTCCTATCGAGTATCAAAACACAGTATCAATCTGTGGCAATTAAAACAACACGGTGCTGGAAGGAACGTGGATAAACAGATGGATGGAGCAGAGCAGAGAGTTCCAAGAAAGTCACTCAGGAATTTAGCTATTTGCTGCAAATTACATAAATGGGCAGGTAGCATTTTTTAAATCACTCAATATTTTTTGATCATTTGGCCATCTGGAAATAAATGCTTAGATCCTTATTTCACACTACACAAAAAAATAAGTTCCAGGTACAGTAAAGGTTTAAGAAAATCACAGAAGCCATAGAAGAATATGTAAGATTTTTTTTTTATGATCTTGGGGTGAGGAAGAACTTTGTGAGCCTGACGTGACGTATGGAGGGCAGAGAGGAGGAACTGGATAGATTTGACCATGTAAAAACACAAAACCTGCCTGTCAGGAGCCAGCCCTGACGGCCTCGTGGTTGAAGTTCGGCACTCATCGCCTCAGCAGCCCGGGTTCTCTTCCTGGTCACGGAACCACACCACCGTCTGTCAGTAGCCATGCTGTGACAGCGGCTCACACAGAAGAACTAGGACTTAGAACCGGGATATACATGCACTGGGGCTTTGGGGAGAAAAGGAAAACTTACCCGTCAAGAAGGCTAATAAAGATGAAAGACAAACACAAATGGTGGGGGGCATCCCTGAAACGTCCGTGACAACGTCCATACCTTCTGTTTCAGTTTTCCATTGCTGCGTAACAAGTTACCGCAAATGTCGGGGCTAAAACAACCCCCGTTTGTACACTTGCTCAGTTTGGTAAGTCAGAAGTCTGGCATGGGGCAGCACAAAGCTGGGCTCAGGTGTTAGTTAACTGAGTTCTCTCGGGAAGATCTTGGGAAAATCCACTTCCACGTTCATTTTGTTGGCAAAATTCATCTCCTTCCAGCTGTAGGACTGTGGTCTCGCTTCCTCACCAGCTGTCAGCCAGGGCCCCTCTCAGCTCCTGAAGGCCACCCACATTCCCTGCCAAGTGGCCCCCTCCATCTTCAAGCCAGCAACGGAGAATTTCCTCCCTGTTGAATCCCATTCACCCTCTAAATCTCTCTGACTTCTTCTTTTGCCACCAGCCAGAGAAAACTCTGCTTTTAAAGGGTTCACCTGCTTAGGTCAGGCCCACCTGATAACTTCCCTTTTGCCCTATAAGGTAACATAATCCCAAAAGTAACACTAGGGGCAAGGGTCATGGGAGCCGATTTTAAATTCTGCCCGCCCTGTCTGTATTCCATAAAGAGCTGTTAGAAGCCAATCAGTGGAAGACGACTCTCCCAGGAGAAGCCTGGCCGATGACGAGCAGGCGATTGGAGAAGGGAAAAGAGCACTGGTCATTAACACTGTGAAAATAGGTTTAATGTCGCTAATATTAACAGAATGCAAATTAAGAAGAATATCTGAGATAGTGACTTTTAGTTACCAACCAGCGAAGCAGAAAAGAGGGGCTGAACTTAGTGCTGTTGGGGAAGTGTGGCTGGGTTCCCGCACCCTTGGGTGACAGGTGCACAGTCAGCTCGGGCTCCACGCAAAGGGCGCAGACCGGCAGCTTCAACAGGAGAAGTTTGTTTCTCACGATTCTGGAGGCTGGAGGTCCCAGATCGAGGCGCAGGCAGGGCTGGGTCCTCCCGAGGCCTCGCTCCTTGGTGTGTAGGTGGCGTCTCCTCCCTGCGTCCTCACGTGGTCGCCCTTCTGTGTGCACATCTGTGTTCTGATCTCTTCTCATCAGGACACCGGTCAGACTGGGTCAGGCCCCCCTGATGACTGCAGTTAAACCTAATTGTCTCCTTGAAGGCCCTCTCTCCAAACACAGTGCCCACCCCTGGCCACCCTGCCACCCGTCTTTCTACACAACCTCCTGCCTCATTTTCCGGCTTCCACTCCTCTCCCCTCCCCCATAACTCTCACCCACACAGGAGCTCAATTCTCTAGCGTTAGAATTTGTACAGTCATCTTGGATGCAAAACTTTTTTTTTTCTAGTTTAGGGTATTTCCCTCAAGAACACTCACGTTGCCCCAGCAGCCTTTTGGTCTGTAAATCCACCTTCTGTTTGGCTCTGTCCACTGAGAAAGGAACGCTCTGCGCAAGTGACCGATGACTGACTACGGCCTAGCCCCCTAAATAAATTAGTCTAGCTTTATTAATCAGTCTCGTGTGAGTTTTGTCAGAAGGAATCCGTTCTTCAGGGTGTGGTCTCCTCTGAGCGCGTGGACAAAAATCCGTTCTCCGCTGCCGAGTCGGGAGTGGCAAGTGCCACCCCGCAGGGCTGGCCACACGGACAGCGTTGGTCCTCAGGCCTGCAGCCCCCACACAGCCATTTCGGTCCAGGGGGCTTCAGGGGAGCTTCAGGCTCTGGATTCCTCCCCGGGGACTGAGGACTCTGCCTAGGACTGCTAGCCCCTAAGTGGTAGGAACTCTGCAAAATGAACAGGCGGCCGTAGAACCAGGCACTATTTCAGTGTTTCCTTAGACGGAGGGACGATCTCCAGGATGTGGTGGGAAACGGAGCAGCTTGTTGCAATCTGTGGGCGTAGATGACATATATTTTGGTCTCTCCAATTAGACTGTAAGGTCTTTGATGGCAAAGTCTGGGTCTTTGTAGTTTAGAGGCAGTTTCCCAGTCTCACCCTATGAAGGCAGGAGGGGTGCGGTTTCCCGCCTCTCCCGGGGTTTCAGGCCAAGCGAAGAGGCATGTGTGATGATGGAACAGCCTTCTTTCTCCCCCAGTGGCGGCACTGCAAGCTGAGTTGGAGAACCTGGCTCTGCATCTCTTCTACACACAGAACATCAACCAGGACGTGCGTGATGACATCCTCGTGATGAAGCAAGTCGTGAAGAAGTCAGAAGTGGAGCTGGTGCGGGCCGAGATAGAGAAGAAGAAGCAGGTATTCCGGGAATCTGACCCACATTTAACTATGCCTAGACTTTTGGTTTTCCAGAAGGCGCTTAGTTTTGCCTCTTGTGTGAATACTGCAGCCCAGACACCGGTGGCCAGCCTGAGGGCTCGGTCAGGGGTTGATGGAGAATCGGCCTTGAGGTGCAGGCATGCTGTTTCTTTACCCAGGACCTGCACGTGGACCAGCTCACCACTCGAGCCAACCAGCTGGAGGAACAAATCGCCCTGTTTGAGGCTCAGTACTGTGCCCAGGCCGAGGACACTCGGATCCTCAGGAAAGCAGTGAGCGAGGTAAGAGGGACATCTGCCGGGCCCGGCTGCAGAAACACCCACTAAGCACCCACCACACGGCCCCCAGACAGTGCCCACATGCCTGCTGAATGAATGGCTAAGCCCCCAATTAGCAGGCAGGCTGCCTGCACAGCTGTGCGTCTCCATCAGCATCTCAGAGCATCTGGCTGACCCATGGTGGGGACGCAGAAGGTACCGGAGAACTGGCGGCCAGTATTTTTATTCCTACCCTAGCCAGTGATAGGCTGAGAGGCCTCCCAGGAATCGGGCGTTCTGTTCTGCTCGCTCAGCAGACCCTTAGCGAGTTCTTTAGCCACAGCGGGCCTGTTCCACTGAGGGCGGGAGACCTGCTAGCATTCTCAGCCCCGCGGGCAGCTGGCAGTCCTGGGCAGTGCCCACATCCACGTGGCTTAAAGGAGGGAACAACCTCAATGCAGCACAAATTCAGTGGCTGACGCTGGAAACCAAAGTTGCTGTGACTTTTTAAAAGATCTGTGAATCACCGCCTGCGTTCCCGCATGCAGGGACGACGCGAAGGGAGCCATGAGCTTGTACTGAGGGAAAGGGCGAGGGCGTGGGCCAGTGGACAACACACCTGGTCCGTGTGGGAAACTGCCACGTCTCTCCAACCCGTGCCTACAGCTGGTCTACAATGTGTTCCAATAGGAATCTCAGGAAAAAAAACCCAATTTTTTAGTTAGCAAAGCGATTCTTAATTCAGAGGACTAGCCAAGACTTGTTTGGGGAAGGAAAGGTTCATGAAGGGACCGCTGTCCCAGTTTGCCTGGAACTGAGGGCTTTCCTGAGACATGGGACTTTCCATGCTAAGACCGGGAGAGGCCCGGACAAACCGGGGTGGTGGGTCACCCCAGCATCGCCCTCCCAAATAGGGAAGTATACTAGAGAGCCCTAGAAGCTAAAATAACTTGTTACCGGAATCCGGGACAGACTGCCAGGCCGTGGGGGCCTGTGAGAGAGTCCAGAAACAAGCAGACGTTTATAGAAGAATGTAGCAGATTAGAAATTAGTGGAGAACAAGTGAATCATGCATGCAGTGGTGTTGGGACATTGAGTTAATCATTTGGGGAAAAAAATTAAATCTTTTCCTCATACCTCACACTAAAACAAATGCCAGGTGAGATCAAGTATTTAAATGGGGGAAATGTACCGAAGAAAATATAAGAGAAATGTCTGTAAAATCGTGGGTTGGAGAGGCCTTTCTGAGCATAACACCGAAAGCAGACACTTCAAAGGAAAAGGCAAGGAGGGTGGACCACGTCAACCACAGGTTCTGTGGGTAACGACACCATCAGCAAAAGGAAAAGACGGGAGACCCACCAGGAAAGACAGGCTTTCAACTATGAGTGCGTTTGGTAGTATCAAGAGGTGTCGAAAAATCAGTAAGAAAGACCCAGGCACGTTTCTGCTGCATGGTGATGGTGTACCCGAAGCTGCAGAGTTTTCTTTCGTTACGTCTTTCAGTGGCGCCCGCTGCTCCCTGCTGGGTGTGTCTCCGCCGGGGCAGGGCCACCCCTGGGCTGTTCGTCCTGCATTCCCACGTCAGAACCACACGTGGCCCGTGGCAGGTGCGCCGTAGACGTTCATGCAGGAATGAATGAGGAATGGATGATAGAGAAGCGTGTGGCAGGGCGTTCTCCCACCGCGATGGCAAAGACAGAAAAGGCAGAGGGAATGGGCCTCCCGCGCTGATAGTGAAAATGCACATCGGTCTTGATTAAATCTTTCTTCAAAGACAATATCGTAGTTGGTGTGGGCAAGGACACTCCCCTGCTCCCTCCCAAACGTCCCTGCTCGGCCTTCATTCCGGGAAACTACCAGAGAGGCACGAGAGCAAAATTTTGTATGTTGAAAACCCCACAAACCAAACGGATGGAGAGTCACTGGGGACACAGTTGTGGTGTGTAATAGCAAAGAAAGGTCCCACAAAGAAGGCGTTGGTGGAACACGTGGGGACACATCCATGTGGTGGAAGCTATCCCACCAACGAAGCAGGTGTTTGCTGACGTTCACAATATGCTAATTTTTAACTCTAGGTTACAAAACAGTATTTAGAATATGATTTGGTGCACACACACACACACACACACAGAGGAAGATAACACTGGGGTGTTAGAAATGGTTAACTCTAAGTCGGGGGATTATTGAAAATTTATTTTCTTTTTGCTTTTTTGCATGTTTTTTTTTCTTTCTTTTTGCTTTTTCTCCCCAAATCCCCCCAGTACATAGTTGTATATTTTAGTCATGGGTCCTTCTAGTTGTGGCATGTGGGACGCCACCTCAACGTGGCCTGATGAGCGGTGCCATGTCCACACCCGGGATCCAAAACAGTGAAACCCTGGGCCACGGTAGCGGAGTGTGAGAACTTAACCACTCAGCCACGAGGCTGGCCCCAACTTATTTGCATGTTCTAATTCGCATAGAACGCTCACTTATTTTTCGTTAGTAAGGAGGGTGTCTAAAACATCCAAAGACTGAATCTTGCCCTCATCTTTGCCTCTCAGCCTGCAGCTTGGGTAGCAAACCCTTGTCCGGCGGCTCCGGGAGCACTGTGGGGAGATGCCCGCCCCTGGCCCGCCAGCCCCACAGCCCAGCCTGGGGAAGAGACTGGTGGGTTCAGGTGCCTGCCACTGCACTTTGGGCCAGTGATAACCTGCTCCCTGGCACACAGAAGCCTCCTCAGCGAACAACTTACCCAAATACGGAAATGTTTCACCGATCATAGTATAATTAATTCATGCATTTTATGCTCCATAATAATGATGAGTAGATGATTTAACCCTCCCAACCAAGAGTGGCTTCCCCTGGGGGATGCTTCCTTCACACCCAGCGCTGCCCTGTTATCGTCCTGTGAGCGCTCGAGTCCTCTCTGATGTTCTCCAGCACCTACCAGGCAGGGCTGGACCATCCCCGTGAGCAGGCCCTGCTGGGGCTCGACATGGACACGAAGATGCTAGTGACATATGAGGGTCTCAGCCGGCCCCCTCCTGTAATTCAGCACTCCACCAGCTCGCTAATGGTGCAAGGATTCCGTTAGGGCTGATCTGTCAGGACATTCTGGGTACCACTCAAAACAGCGAGTGTGATGGAGCCAAGAACGAGCTGGGCGTATAGGCGTCACCTCATTTGATACTACAGCCCCAGGACGTGGTACTGTTACTGTACCCATGTCACAGCCAGGGACACAGGGGACAAGGAGGCGAGGTCGCCTACCTAATCCTGAGCTCGCAGCCCAGGCAGCCATACTCTGCGAACAGCCCTTAGCCTCTGCCCCCAAGCATAGGGGAGACCCCCTTGCCTTTGCAGTGAATTCCGGAGCCCTCTTCCTGATTTCAAGGCCCTCCCCGCGTGAGCCCAGGCCTTATCCCAGCTGGTCCCCACCACCACTGCGATCTGGGACATCCAGCCTCAGCTCATCCCATCCCCACCTCTGGACCACGTTGTCCACCCCACCCACCTGCCCGTCCAGCTCTGCTTCCTTGTCCCCAGTCTGGGTAGGCCACGCTTCTCCCAACAGCACGCTCACATCCAGCTGTCATTCTGCAAACAAATGGCCCCCCGTCCAGTGTGGGCTCCTTAAAGGAAGGGGTGCCAGGCACCGAGGCTGCGCCTGTCCTGTGTGGCCTGAGCTCCGGTGTGTGGACGGGAGCATAGTGAGAATCAAGGACCTCCGCTCACCCCGGTGTTTGGGGTCTGGCATGGGGCGGGTGTCGATGGATGTCGGCCAGCTGCCTCCTCCTCTCACCCCTGGCACCGGGCGCCAGGGGACCCTGAGTAAAGGCACAAACGGGGGTCCCAGGAGTCTTTAGGGCTGTATTTTGTTTTGCGGTTATCCTTTTGCTGGTGCACGATAAAGACAAGCGAGGGTGACATAGGCAAGGAGCTGATTCAGGAAAGTTGGGGCTCTCGACGTTCTTTGGGGCTTTGAGCAAAATGAAATAAGACCAACACGCACATCACCCCAACTCCCCCCCGCAGGCCTGCACAGAAATCGATGCCATCACCATGGAGAAAAAGCGTATCCTGCAGCAGTGGGCCACCAGCCTGGTGGGCATGAAGCACCGCGACGAGGCTCACAGGGCCATCCAGGAGGCTCTCAGGTATGGGCTCCCAGGATGGGCCTCCCCCACTTCCGGTGTGCCGCAGTGGTGGGGCCAGGGGGCTCAGGGGGCAGGCGGGGCCGGGGCAGGAGAGAGATGTGTGGGAAAGGCGGAGGCGGGCCGGGCGTGGACCACGCACTCCCACCCCATCCCAGGTGAGCGAGGAGCACAAAGGGGGCACCTGCAGCCCGCTTCCGACCTGAAAGCTCCCGTATTGTTCCCCAAGATCTCAGCGTTTCTTAAGTCCTTTCAAACTTTCCGTGGCAGCAAAGCTTTCCCACTCAGATTTCCTGGGAGGATTAAGGAGAAACAATGAGAGAGAGGAAAGAGAAAGCGGTATTTATCTTTGGGAGATAAAGGTGTCCCTTTGATTTGCAGCCTCACCACCTGTGTGCGGAAACTCCATCCCTCCTCGGCTGTGCTGCCCAGGGCTGCGTTCCAACCAAAATCCTGTTTTAATCTCCCCTCGAAGGGGAAGCAGGAGGCCCCCTCCTCGCGTCCCCCTCCCTCACTTCTAGCAAGGGGTGCACGTGTGGCTTGAGCCTGGTATTGGGTCGGGGGCCTCCAGGCACAGCGCCCCCTTAATTCCCCAAACTGCCCAGGGTTATGGGGACCCAGATGTGATCCCCCAATTCTGGAGGTGCCTTCAACTCGGCCTCCACTTCTGGCGCCCAGCACACAGCCTGGCAGCGAGCGGGTGCCCCCGAAAGAGTCGCTGAACGTGGGAAGGAGTGAATGAGTGAATCGCTTTGTCAGTCCCGCAGCACGGTTTCTGGTGGTTGCAAGACGAGGAGATAATTTTCCTTCCTGGTCTTGTGATTAAAAAACAAACAAACAAACGAAAAAGGCATGTATGATTGTTTTAAAACAGGACATTTTTACACGAATAACGCTGAATTAAAAGTGTCCATTTCCTCCGCCTCCCTGAGTCAACAACGTAAAGCCAAAGGGAGAGCTGTGGGACTGTGAAGGCAAATTCCCTCTGAATGTGCAGGTGGAGGAACCAGGGCCGCCGGGGGCTGGGGGGCTGGGACGCAGGCCTCACCTGCCCTGCCCTCGCCGGGGCTCCCTCCCGAGCGTTTGCTGTGGCAAAGGCCTTGGCGTCTGGGCAGCATTTTCCTTCTGCCTGATGCGGACCTGGAGTCGGTCAAGGCTGAGGTTCGCCGCCTACGCTCCCCTGCAAGGACTGGGGTGCAGGTACCACCTCCGGGACCCCCTCTTGTCCAGCGCTCCTGTGCCTCCAGGACTAACCCAGAGTGCCCCCCGCGCCCCTCCATCCTCGCCTTGTCCCCGAGCGTCTCCGAGATGTGGCCTGGCCACCCCTCCTTTTTCTTTATTTTTTTAATTTAATCTTTTGAATAGATAATACAGCCGCTTGGTTAAAAATGTTTGTAGAATCGCATCCAGTGAGGTCTCTCTCCCTCCCCCGTCCTGCATCGCCCGGTGCCCCTTCCCACAGACAGTGCTCCTGGTTTCCTGGGTTTCCCTCCCTAGACATTCTGCGCCATCATAAGAAAATCCAGGTATCCGTGCTCTTCGTTTCTTTGTTGCACCGAGGTAGCGTGCTGTGTACGGGGTTCTGTGTCTTGCTTTTTTCATTCAACAACACGTCCTGGAGATCTTTCCAAATCAAAATATAAAGACCATTCATTCCTTCTTTTTCCACCACGAAGCGTTCTGTTGGGAGCTTCTAGGGGGAAGGCTCCCAGGGGGTATCTGGGGTATTCACACTCCTTTTCTCTTGCGGTGTCGCCATACCTACCAGTGTCCAGGATTGTTATATTTTATATTATGCTATGTAACTATGTTATATTCTCTATCAAGCCTGGAAGCTCCAGGTTCCAGGGTGCGCACATGCGCAGGTCTGGCAGGTGTTTCTAAGTAAAGCTGTGATGGTCACACCAGGGGCGTTCCAAAGTCCCATGACAGCTCGGTGTGCTATCCCACTTTTGGGTTGTGCCAATCTGATTGAAGAAAAAAATGATATCATGTTTTTAAAATATGTGTGCATGGAATGTTCAGTGAATATTTTAGCAAAAGGCACAGCCCCTCTAACAACAGGGGGTAGAGTGCTGCGTGCAGCTCAGCTGTCCTCTCTCGACTCCGTACGCCGGCTGCAGAGGAGCGAGGTCCACCTGCATAAGGCGTGGGCTGTGCAGGATGCTGGGAGAATTGTGAATCATAATTGCAGAGATGTGCCATCTCCACCTAGATGGGTCTGAGGAAGGAAACCCAAGACCGCTTAACAGAAGTTCAGGGCGTTGCAAAAATGAAATATTGCATTGCCGATGAATTCTAGGCCAGTTCAACAACTGAACCAAATACCCAATACCAACTCATCGATGTTCAATGAGTTCGTCCATTTTTTAAAAAATGGATGAAAATGCTGATATTCTTGGTGGATGGTCAGGAAGTTGGCCACGATGCCAGCACCTGGCAGCTGTCTGGGCGTTGTGAGGTCCCTGCGGACCAGGCCCCGCTGGCTCTGAAGCTGGCTTTTGCCGTCACGTCGAGAATGCATCTGGTGAATGCTGGCCAGAGGCTGATAGAGAAATGAGAATGCCAATTTGCTCGTGTCCACTAGGAAATGTAAGCACCAAAGCCCCCGATGCTTATCTGGGAACGAACACAGGCCCGCCGCTCAGGGAACAGCTCAGCAGTGGGAACGTCGAGGCCCCAGCCTGCCTGCCTCCCGCTTCTTCCCCGGAGCACCAGGCAGCCCGGCCACGCAGGAAGAGGTACCCCTGCAGCCCTCCCGGGGCGCTTGCCTCTGTGCCAATCCTGCCTCCTCCATCACCCTCCCCCCCACTTTGATGCTTATGTGATTTTTCCAGATAACTCCATGTCCTTAATTAGGTTCCAGTCAAATCTGGTACTTTCTCTTTTTCATTCTCTTTGTTTGTCTCTTCACCTAACGTCAATTCCACAATTTAACTCTTGGAAAACGATCTGACTTCCCTGTCTTTTGGGTGGAGGGGGGCACCATAATCTTGCCCCCACGTGTCTCATACATAAGCTGCAAGTTTAGCTGAAAGCCGGCGCGTTCCTTGTCAGCTACTCCCTGCCGTCTTCCCCGTTTCGCAGGGGCGTTGCACACTGACACAAGAATGCAGGGGGAAGGCTGACACGTGTGCTTCCGTTCAGTTCAGCTGGTCCAGGGCTGACACAAGGTAGCCGAGGGGTGGGCCCCACACCTTCCAGGCTTCCTTTTCCCTGAATCCTAACAACGACAGAGGCAGCTCCCGCGGACAGTTCCCTTCAGAGCGGAGTGTGGGGGTGGGTCGCCCGCCGGAGCAAGGGAGAGCAGGAGGAGGGTCGACAGTCGCCACGGGGGAGCCTTGGTCCTTCCGTCCACTCAGCCTTGAACAGGGTCAGACGTGGAATCCAGAGCAAGGCAATAATGGCACACGATTTGCCCTTTTCCCGTGTGACAGGCCGTGCTCAGCTTGGTCTGGCCTGGCCCCGCAGACCCTCGGAGGACGGCTCTGTCATTACCCACATTTGCGGAAGAGGAGGGGGGAGTGGAAGGCAGTGTGGGGTGAGCTGGACTGGAACCCTGCCGGGGCGGCTGCAGTGGACCTCTTTCAGCCTGGGGTCTGGCAGGTAGCGCCCATCACCGCCAACGTCCCCTGTGCCCTAGGACACCTGCAACCCTGGAGACCAGGCCCACCGTGTGACCACAGAGAGCAGCTGGTTAAAGGGGTGTGGGGGAGACCCTTAGGGATTGCCCTAACGACACATCGTGTCCCGTCCCCCCTTCCCACTCAAGGAGACAGAGTGGCCGTCCCCCGCCGGGGCTCCCCGAGGCTGGAGGGCATGTCTCATGGACTGGACCCGGCAGCCATGGGTGAAGCCAGCCTGTGACATGGAGAGAAGACGGTCCCCGCCACGCCGGCCCTTTAGAGATGGGGGCTACCCATCGAATCTTTGCAACGTTAGTGACAAAATCGCACAAAAGTGGGTCCCAACCACAGGTGAACGGTCCCTACTGAGACCGCAGGAAACGCTGAAAGTCATACATTCAAAGGAAACGAGTCATTTTCACGTGAAACTTCTCAAAACAAGCCAGAAAAACTCAAAAAGCTTCTTTCTCCTTTTGTGACAAGGACAATTTATTAGCGTTTTAGGTCCTCGCAGGCAGCTCTTCCCCCACGCATATGCTGTAGCGAGCATTCAGACTTCCGTCGTATGATTTGTAACTCTGTCTTTTTTAAATTGGACATCTTATTTTCATTGTCAGATTTTAGACATTTATGAGGCTGCTACTTCCTAAAAAGAAAATGAGTACCTTTTTAATTTTGTCGGGTTTATTGAGGTTAATTTATGTACAAAAGTTATCCTTTTGGAGTGCACAGTTCAGTGAGTTCTGGCAAATGGACAGAGGGACGTGACCCCCGTACACTCAAGATGTCAGACATTTCCTTCACCCCCAAAGTCAGCACCTCTCCCACCTCCGGCCGCCAGCAAACACTGGTCTGATTCTGTCCCTGGAGTCCTGTCATTTCCAGGACGTCACGTAAATGAAAGCCTGCAGCATGTGGCTCTTCTCGTCATGCTTCTTTCACTGAGCGTCGTCGTGCTTTTTCGAGCCCTCCTGGTGCTGCGAGATCGGTGGTGCCTTCCTTCTTGTTGCTGAATAGTATTCCACTGCATGGATACGTCAAACCTGTGTATCTCCTCACCAGCTGATGGCCGTGCCGATGTCTCTGGTGTGGGAGTATCGTGAATAAAGCTGCTGTGACACTCTGGGCGGGTCTTAGTGTGGACGTTTGTTTCCTTCTCTCCTGGGTGAACACCTCGGTGTGGGGGTTGCTGGTAAGTGTATATCTTACTTTATAACAAACTGCCGAGGTGTTCTCCAAGGCGAGTTGTCCCCTTTTGCATTCCCACCAGCAGTGTACGAGATTCCCAGGGACTCCCGTCCTCACCAACACCCAATAGTGTCGTCATTTTAATTTTAGCCATTACATCCAGCCATCAGTAGATGTGTCGTGGTGTCACATCGAGGTTTTAATTTGCATTTCTCTAATGACTAATGACGGTGAGCATCTTTTTGTGTGCTTATTTCCATGCATGTATCTTCTCTGGTAAAGTGTCTTTTGCTCATTTTTAAATGAGTGGTTTATCTTATTAGTGAGTTATGAGTTCTCATATATTCTGGATACAAGTCCTTTATCAGATGTGCATCTTGAAAATATTTTTCTCCCTGTCTGGCTTGTCTTTTCATTTCCTCAGCAGCATCTCTTGAAGAGTAGAAGTTTTCAATTTTGATGAAGTCCAATTTATTCATTTTTTTTTCTTTCATAGTTCATTCTTTTTATGTCCTCTCTAAGAAATCCTTTGCCTGACTCTGACCTGCCATAAAGATTTTCTCCTATGTTTTCTGCTAAAGTTTTATCATTTTAGCTCTTCCATTTAGGTATACAATCCATTTCAAGTTAATTTTTGTTATGGTGTGAGGGCCAGGTTCGGTCTTTTTTCAACATGTCTCTCCAGTTCTCCTGGCAGCACTGTCGAAAGACTGTCCTTTCTCCGTTGAGACACTGTGGCACCTTCGTCAAAGATGAAGCGGGCGTACGTGCGTGTGTTGGTGTGTGTCAGCCTGTGGACTCTCTATTCTGTTCCCCTGATCTGTCTGTCTGTTCTCCCGCCAACACCACAGTGCTTGACGACTATAGCTTTACAGACGGTCTTAAAATCAGACAGGGGCAGTCTTCGCTCTCCTTTTACAAAATTATTTTGGCAATTCTAGGTCCTTTAGATTTCCACATAAATTTTAGAATTAGCTTGTCAATTTCTGGGGAAAAAATGCCCTCTGGGATCATGACTGGAGTTGCACTGAGTCTCCTGGTCTGTTTGGGGAGAATTGACACCTTAGTGATAGCGAATTTTCTGCCGAATGAACGTAGTGTATCTCTCCTGGATCTTTTTCTATGTGTACAGATGTTTATTGCTACACTGATGAAACTAGAAAAGGACCAGAAAACTGGAAAGAGCCTAATCGTGTATCAATGAGGGTGATGAAATTATGACACTTCCTCATTTGGAATACTCTCTGGTTGCTGAAAAGAATTAAGGAGATTTCTATGTGCACTGATATTGATCATCTCAGACACAGCACGAGAAGAAGTAAGGTGCAGAACAGGATATATAAGCTACCACCTGTAATTTTTTAAGTGGAAAGAAACACTCATGTGCACACAAACATAATGCTTATATACGCATGGAATATATCTGGGAAGACATTTAAGAGATAGTAGCAGGTTGCTGGGAAGAGCATTGAAGGCCCTGGAGTAGATGTGAGAAAAATGTCAAAGCTGTTATTCTAGTTCAAGAAGAAAGTCCTTTCTGAATTTTTGAATATGAATTTATTTGAAGGATAAGATGCTGTAAGGCATGTGTGAAGTACGGCGGGACAGCTCCGAAAACACACCTCTCACACACACACAAGCTCAGATTCCATAATCCAGTATCTGTATTTTTTAATTTTTTTAATTGTTCATAATAGTTTACGTCACTGTGAGATTTCAGTTGTCCGTTATTTCTTGTCCATCACCACGTAGGGGCTCCCCTTCACCCCTGTGCCCACCCCACCCCCCGGTAACCACTCAACTGTTTTCTCTGTCCGTGGGTTTGTTCACATTCCACATATGAGTGAAATCATCTAGTGTTTGTCTTTCTCTATCTGGCTTATTTCACTTAGCATAATTCCCTCCAGGTCCTTCCATGTTGTTGCAAATGGGATGAATTTGTCTTTTTTATGGCTGAGTAGTATTCCATTGTATATATATATACACCACATCTTCTTTATCCAGTCATCAGTTGATGGGCACTTGGGTTGCTTCCGTGTCTTGGCTATTGTAAATAGTGCTGAAATGAACATAAGGGTGCATATGATACTGTGGATTGTTGATTTTAAGTTGTTTGGGTAGATACCCAGTAGTGGGATGGCTGGGTCATATTGTAGTTCTATTTTTAGTTTTTTGAGGAATCTCCATACTGTTTTCCATAGTGGCTGCACCAGTTTGCATTCCCACCAGCAGTGTGTGAGGGTTCCCTTTTCTCCACACCCTCTCCAACATTTGTTGTTTCTCGTCTTGGTGATTATAGCCATTCCGACTGGTGTGAGGTGATATCTCATTGTAGTTGTGATTAGCATTTCCCTAATGGTTAGTGATGTTGAGCATCTTTTCATGCGCCTGTTGGCCATCTGTCTATCAGTATCTGTATTTTTAACTTGACATTAATTATAGGTATTTCCACGGCCAGCACACTGAGGGGTAAACAGTAGAATTTGAAGGGACCCCCATCGAGGGTTTCTCCCAGCAACACCATTACTAGGGCCAGGGAGCACCCTTCTCAAATGCTCTGCGCTGCAGTGCTCACATCGAGGAAGCTGGAGTAACAGCATTTCCTTTCCAGCATCATTGTCATGACTGCAGAGGACGGGTGGGTGACAACCCCACAGCACAGAGCCCACTCCAGTTCTTAGCTCCCTTCCCCTTCCTTCTCCTGTAATCATAATACTAAAAGACTTTTAGACCTGGGCTTGAAATAGCTGCTAGTTCTATTAATATATTAGAAAATAGTAGTCAAGTTTCGGCTACTATTGTAAGAGTTGTTTTCCTACTTTATTCCTCTCCGTTCAGTGAGCTTCCTCTGAGTGGGGGCCACCGTACGCACTGGTGTTCTTTACTCTCTCGATTTCGGCAGCGAATGCCAGCATCAAGTCAAGTCCATCGACGGTGAGATCGAAGCCTATAAGAAATCCATCGTGAAGGAGGAGGAAAAGAATGAGAAGCTGGCGAGCATCCTGAACCGGGTGGAGACGGAAGCCAGCCTGATGCAGAAACTGACCGCGCAGAGCCTGAGCAAGCAGGAGGCGCTGCAGAGCGAGTTCGGCACCTACCGGCTCACGCTGCAGGCCACGGAGGACGAGATGGGCAAGGCCCACGTGGTACGGCCGCGGCCCCACCCGGCAGCGCCTGCCTGCCAGGCCTCCTTAACAGCGGCCGCCCTCTGACTCTTCCCTTCCAGGAATACGCGGCGGTGATGAGCGAACTGCAGACCATCCACCAGACGGCCCAGCAGGAGCTGGAGCTGAGGAGGAAGACGGACGCCTCCATCGCGGAGAAGCTGCAGGAGCACACGACCTCCAACAAGATGACCAAGTACTTCTACCAGCTCATCCTGAAGATCCAGAAGGAGAAGACCAACCTGGTATGCCACCTCCTCACACCGCAGCCGCGGGGGACGGGCGCCCTCAGGGACCGTGGGCACGGGGAGGCGGCGCTCAGCGGGAGCAGACCACACACAGCGGATTCAGTGTGAGCAAGGGGGCCTCAGCATGTCTATTCACTTTTCATTTCTTTCTAGTAAAAGCAATGCATTTTTGTTGTAAAAAAACTGAAAAATAGGGGCCGGCCGCGTGGCCGAGTGGTTAGGTTCACGTACTCCACTTCGGCTGCCCAGGGTTTCGCCGGTTCGAATCCTGGGTGCAGACATGGCACTGCTCATCAGGCCATTCTGAGGCGGCGTCCCGTGTGCCACAACTGGAAGAACCCACAACTAAAAATACACAACTATGTACTCAGGAGCTTTGGGGAGAAAAAGGAAAAATAAAATCTTTTTTTTTTTTTTTGAGGAAGATTAGCCCTGAGCTAACTACTGCCAATCCTCCTCTTTTTGCTGAGGAAGGCTGGCCCTGAGCTAACATCCGTGCCCATCTTCCTCTACTTTATGGGTGGGACACCTGCCACAGCATGGCTTTTGCCAAGCAGTGCCATGTCTGCACCCGGGATCCAAACCGGCAAACCCCAGGCCGCCGAGAAGCGGAACATGCGCACTTAACTGCTGTGCCACCAAGCCGGCCCCAAAAATAAAATCTTTAAAAAAAAAAAACAAAAACCTGAAGCACAGAAAGGAAATAAAGAGGAAAATAAGGCAGCTGTAACTCCACCATCCAGAGATAATCTCTTCTAAATTTTCGGTATATTTCCTTCTGGAAATTTTTCTAACTGCACGTGCTCATACTCACACATGCCAGCAAACACATGCGCACGCACGAACACACTTGCGTATCCACATCCCCATGCACACACCCGAGCAAGCACACTCACATGTGCGCACACACTCACACATACACACTAATATGCACTCACTCACACAGACACACAGACATACTCACACACTCAAACATGCACACACATGGACGCACACCTTAAACAACATAGGACTCATTTAACGACTCTCTCGGCAGACACGTCAGGCTGCTTCTTGGTTTTCAATATTGTGAGTAACTCAGCACCAGGCATGCTTGCTCGCGCATCTTTGCCCACGTGTGCAAGGATGAATTGCTGCAGCGGAAGCCCTGGGTCGAAGGGTGGGAGCATTTTCAATAGATTCCAGCGCCTCTGCTCGCCGAGGTTTGGCCTGGGGGTCCCGGAGTGTGATTTGACCTTCCCGGCCTGGGACCCCTGCCATGAGCTGTCTCTTGCTCTCCCAGGGGTCTTGCTTTGCTCCACACTGTGATGGGGTCCCTGTGTCCTCAGAAAGCAATTCCGTACTTGAATTGTTTCTTCTTCGCCTCTTCCCTTGGTGGGACCCCCACTGGAGTCCCCTGTGTCAGTGGGTCCCCTCGGAGGATCCCACTGAGGCCACCACACCCTGTGCCAGGCCGAGGGCACAGCCCAGGAGAGGGCTTGTCCCTGGCTCCCCACTTAAGTCTCAGTGGGGGAGCTGAGTCCTGTCCAACCTCGTCAATTCGTGTAACAGCAGCCACATGAACATATTTCAGCCCCACCGGAAGGTTCCACCTGTATGGCTGCAACCCAGGCCCTTCTGAGAGGTAGGAGAGGAAGGGGAGCCGGGCCTCTCCGGCCTTAGGTCAAGAGTGTGAGTCCTGCTCCCGTGTCATCTGGGCCTCTGCCTTCACTCTCTTGCCTGGTACAAGACACCTCGAAGGTGTCAGAGGATTAAATCTAACCGTTTATTAAAATTCGAGCAATTTTTATTAAAATTCAAGCAAAAATTCGTGCCTGGGGAGGGCCAGAGGCCGTGCGCCCCAGATGTCAGCCATCACCATTGTTGTCATGGTGGATACTGGTCAGGAGGGGGCCCAGCTGAGCCAAAAGTGGTGGGTCGCCCACCAGCGGGGCTCACCTCTCCTCCCAGAGGGCAGAGCCACTGTTTACCTGGCTGGCAGCCTGAGGCCTCACCCCTCCCAGACACCTGGGAGGAGGGCAGCTGACTCCTGGCCTGGCTGTGCCAAGGAAGTGGGGAGACAGGGCTGGAACTAAGACTGTACACTGCAGGGTCTCCTTGGGCCGTCCTGGCTGATGCCTGCAGAGGCCTGCCGGTCCTTCTTCTGGGAAGTGAGGGCAAGATCACCTACTGGGAGCAAAACTATGGGCCCCGGGGTGCACTGGAGAAGCTGAGGAGCACAGTGGGTGTGGAGTAACCTGCCCACCGAGGCGGGTCCCCAGGCCCCCAGCAGCCGGTGGGTGTGGCACATGTACTACCACCGATGTCCAGAGGAGGGCAGTAGGGAGTCTCGGGCCAACATTCCTGCATTACAATTGCCCCCGGACCAGCAAGTGAGCTCTTGAAAGGGGCTCTTTTTCTGAACTCCTCAAAAACTTCACGGGCCAGTGGGCCAGTGGGCCAGTGGGCCAGTGGGCCAGTGGGCCAGCGGCAGGCGGGGCGGGGCATATCTGGGACAAGGAGCAGAGGCTGTGGATGGACGGATTCATCCGGAGAAGGGTCCAGATGGAGTGTGGGTCCAGTCGATGGTGGGGTCTAGACCATTAATTCAGGGGCAGTGCTGACATCCCGGGAAGGGGCCAGGGTGCTCTCAACAAGGAGAAGCAACAGCCCAGGACCGGAGCCTGGAGAGGCCGGGTGTTCTGGCTGGTCTGGCTGGTGGCTGAAAGGGGCCTAGGATCTGAAGCCCCCACAGGGCTGGGCGAGTGCTGGGCAGAGAGGAAGGTGGGAGCCCCTGTGAAGACCCCGGCGATCCCAGACAACCTTGGCAAAGAAAGAGGGGTGTGGCATGGCCTGAGCGCAGAGGGGCTAGAGGGCCCAAGAACCTTATCACGGGGAACTGGGTGGCTTGAGATGCTGGAAGCTTCTGCTCCAGGTGGGCAGGGTCTGGCTTTAAAACTTAGGAATGTTGGGTGTCCTGGAAAGTCACTCATGGTGGCCAGTCAGAGAGTGCATGTGACACAGACCCAGCCCAGTCATGGGCGGAGGAGCCGAGATGACCCTGGGGGCCTGGGAGCCACGGGCCGTGAGAGGGCTGAGGTTTTGCATGGGCCACAGGGGGCGAGGGGCTGGCTGGTGCGGTCCGAGCAGAGCCACAGAGACCAGGGTAAAGGACCTGGTTCCCAGAGTGAGCCTGAGCGGCTGGCACTGCCACTGCCTCCCTTCCTGATTTTCACAAATGTCCTTATGATAAACCCTCTGTCGCAGGAGGGCATCCCAGCGAATCTGTCTTCTGAGAGCAGCAGAGGAGACTGGGTGGGCTGGTCAGACGTTCAGGGCAGCGAGTGGCCCCGAGGCGCCCTCGGCTGCTCCACCCCCAGAACCCAAGGTTGGCGAGACCCAGGGCTCACAGCTCACAGTGGGATCTTTTCTTTCCAGGACTGTGTCCAGTTTTCAGTAGAGTGTAAGGACATCTGTCCCATGAATGAAAATTAGAAGTCGTTGTTAAGTGTTTGCCATGGCATTACTTAGACTAGGGATTTTGGTAACAGACTACAAGCTCAAAGAGGGCGGGAATCTTGGTTTTTTCACCAAACAGAACAACTGCCTGCAGCAGCCACCAGGCGTTCAATTGACCGTTGTCGAGCGGCTGAGGGAATGCCTAACGGCAACCATGACTTGCTTCCTTGTTTCAAATACGACAGAGTACTGCACGGCCAGCAAAAAGGATGCAGCATAAGAGCAGAAGACAAGATTTGTCAAATTAGAAGGCAGCTTACAAATCTATGTGTAGAGTGTGATCCTGCTTTTGTGTTTTGGGGGAAGGCGGGGGTTTGTATGAAGACTGGAGGGGAGGACAGATTCCACATGGTGGTGGCTAGCCGTGTGGCAGAATTGTGGGTGATTAAGATGTTCTCTTCTTTCCTCGCCTGTATTTTCACATTTCCCCACAAGGTATGTTACTGTTTGTTTAAGAAGAAGAAACAATAATGTTATCTTCCTTTTTTGTGAGAAGTCACCATTAGGGTTCCAGCAAGTAGGTCCTTTGCCAGGTCCTTGAGGAGGAGAGAAAGCCAGCCCACTCCTGCTCGTGCTTTGGAACTTCTCCAGGTGTTCGAGGACCTAGCAGGCAAGCCAGCTCACATGGAGCCCCTGGAAAAAAAATGTTCAGACATATTTCCTTTTGCGAATTCAGGGGACACATCTTTCCAAAATTGACGGTGACATCGCCAAGACCACCCTGGACATCACGAACACCAGCTGCAGGCTGGACATGCATCAGAAGACGCTGGCCGAGCTGGACCAGGAAGTGAAAAAAGTCAACGTCCTCATCACCAACAGCGAGAACGAGATCTCCAGGCGCACGATCCTGATCGAGAGGAAGCAAGGCCTCATCAACTTCTTCAACAAGCAGTTGGAGCAGATGGTTTCCGAGATGGGGGTAAGGCCCCAGGGCCGGGGAGGCACCTCTGGCTGATATTTGCACCTGGCCATTTCAGGAACTGCTTCCATGTAGACGTGAGCTTCTGCCCCCAGTGAAGTGGCGAGTGTGTGGGAAGCTGTGTGTCAGGGGTCAGCAAACCTTCTTCTGTCGAGGGCCAGTTAATAAATATGACAGGTATTGTGGGCCAGATGGTCGCTGTCGCCACCAGCTCACCCCTGCCATCGTGAGAAAGGAGCCATAGGCCGTACATAACAGATGGGCGTGTCCATGTCCAATAAAACCTTATTTATGGCCACTAAAATTTGAATTCCATATTCACCTGGCACGAGATATTCTTCTTTTGAGTTTTTGTACGGCCCTTGGACCATACAAAGACAGGTGGCAGGCAGGATTCGACCCTCTGAGGCAAGCGGTCTGACGAGTCCTGTAGGTTATCCAGGCAGCTCTAACCTAAGGACCCCCCCGGGCTTCAAGTCCCGGAGTGGGACAGGTGGCTGGGGGTGTGCTCTCTGGTAGACCCCAAAATCCAGAGGGCCCTGTGAAAGCCCCAACCCAAATGGATTCTAAGGGAGTGAACACCCTGACCCTGACGGTGCGCTGTTAAAAGACAACTTTCAAAGCCCCTTTGGGGTACGGGGTCCCTGCCGACCCTTATATGGCTGTGGCCTGGTGGGGCCACGCCAGCAGGGGCAAGATGAGGGGGCCTCAGAGCCCCCCTGTGACCTGTATTTCCCACAGCGGGTCCAGGGCATATGGCCAGGGCCCTCGGGGAGGGAACCCAATGATGAGGCCCTACCCTCTGAATACTGCCCCCCCTCCACCACCCAGGACAGATGCACGAACTCGGGGTCCCAGCCCTCGGCAGCCCACCCAGAAAGCAGACCTTTGAAACAAGGAGGCTCATTTTGCTTTTCAGGGGGAAGAGATGGGGCCCCTGGAGCTTGAAATCAAAAGGCTGACCAAGCTGATCGAGGAATACAACGCCCACGTGACGCAGGCCCAGGTGACCTGGCTGCGCCTGCAGCAGGAGATGGTGAAGGCCACGCAGGAGTGCGAGGAGCAGGTGGGCTCCCTGGCCATGTTCAAGAAGGAGCTCCACATCCTGGAGCAGAAGAAGCTGCGAATAGAGAGTAAGAGCTGCCCTGCGCTCGGCGTCCGAGGCGACTCCGCGGCTGGGCGGGGGCCCACCTCCCAGGGCGGGGTGTCCACGGTGGAGCCCACCGCCTTACGTTCACAAAGCTTCACAGCAGACCACAACGGGGCTCACATCCCATTGCGTAAAGATGAGCCGGTGCCCTGACTGGCCAGCCAGTTTGCAGTCATGGTGGAAGTCGTTGAGAAAATTTACTGAACTTGTTAAGTTCACAGACTTCAGGCCTCCCAGAGAGAGGAAAGTTGGAAAACGGTCCCCGGGCTCCCCCAGCCCCTGTCTTGCCCAGGCTGGGTCTGGGTCCCAAGGGTCTCCAATGTGCCAAGGTGTCCAGAGAGGGAGCGGACACCCTTCCCAGGCCACCATCCACCCACATGGCCACTCGCTGAGGCATCCTGGTCCCACCTGGTCTCTGACCAGGGATCCATCAGGTCAGCCCCGCCACGTGGCGCCACGGGAAATGCTGCTCGGTGGTCCGGGCCCACTCCTCCTGGACACATCATATACCATTTCTTCCCAGCGGTCTTGCCACCTTCTTGCTCTGCCCCTGGGGCACCCAAACTCGCTTGTTGGAGATTAGGGTCTGTTTTCCACCCCTGGCTCCTGAGCTCGGCCTGGACAGGGCCGGGGGGCAGGGCTCGCCTTTCCTGGAGTCTCAGTGTCTGAGTGTGGACAACGTCCCCAAAGTGGAAGGAGCCTGAGTGTCCTCAGGGGAGGGGAGCTTGCTCTCCATCATCACACACACACATGCCCCCATTGGTCATCCATGCCAGGGTCCTTTCAGTTCCTCAAAGGGTCTGGCTTTGGAAACGAAGTGGCCAGGAAGAAACCGCTTCCGTCTCCTCTGGCCCAGCAGGGACGGGACTAGGGTGGGGGCACCCCTAGGAACAGCGGGCGGGAGGGGTGCTGTGGGGAGAGACCCCGCCCCCTGCTCTGGGAATGCGGCTGCCGGGCTGGCCAGGGCTCCACCCTCCCCGGGCTGCTCCCTCGGCATCCTCGCTCTCTGCCGCAGACAAGATCGATCAGGAGAAGAAGGAGCAGAAGGAGATTGAGCGCCACATGAAGGACCTGGACAACGACCTGAAGAAGCTCAACGTGCTGATGAGCAAGAACCGCACCTGCTCCGAGGAGCTGCAGCAGGACAACCTGGTGACCGAGAACGAGTTCGTGCGCTCGCTGAAGGTCGGCTCCCCTCGGCCCGAGCCGGGGCACACGGTCTCTGGCCCTTTGGCCCGAGGGCTGACGGAGGGGGGCACGTATGTGGGCACACGTGTCCTCCAGCGTGCACCCCACAGCCGCCCTCGTCCCTCCTGATGCAGGCCTCTGAGAGAGAGACCATCGAGATGCAGGAGAAGCTGGACCAGCTCAAAGAGGAGAAGGCGGCCATCCTGAACAACCTGGTGGAGGCAGAGTGAGTGCCCATGTTGGGTGCACTGATTCTTTTTTCTTTTTTTTTTGGTGAGGAAGATTTTCCCTGAGCTAACATCTGTGCCAATCGTCCTCTATTTTATGTGGGATGGCGCCACAGTGTGGCTTGACGAGCAGTGCTAGGTCCACACCCGGGATCTGAACCTGTGAACCCCAGGCTGCCAAAGCAGAGCATGTGCACTTAACCACTACGCTGCCACCAGGCCAGCCCCAGGTGCACTGATTCTAAATGCCACTGCCCTGTGGAGCCCGTGGGCATCCACCATCCATTTAAAACCGCCTGGGGAGCGGTTCTGGAACCCACGCTGGAGGATCCCAGAGAACAGCTGGCTGTCACTGCAGGGCTCTGGTCTCTCGCCCCCGGGGGAAGCCCTCCCACCAAACCAGTTATCACTGGAAATCGAGAGGCTTTCTTTGGGATAAACTTTTTGAAAATTATATTATTTTTATGGTGCCTGATTGTAAGAGTAATCCGTCCCCAACTGTCAGCATTTTAAGCTATAACTGTGTGCGCAGTCAAAAGGGAAAGTCACACATAATTCCAGCTCTCTTCCTTTACCAGAAAACCACCGTGTATGTATACTTCTTTTTCTGCTGCTGCTTTTTCTAAACACAAATGGGGCTGTTTGACGTGCTTCCCCTTGAAGCATTTACACTTCCGTGGCTGTCTTTCTCCGTCCGTGCACGTGATCCCCACCTCCACTGAGGGTGCGTCGTGAGCGATGCCATGTGCTCTGGAAGGGCTGAGCGCCAGAGGCATCAGCCATTCTTGGAGTTTGATGGAACCTACACATAAACCCTGGGGCCGATGCTTCTGCAGGGCGTCTTAGCCCGTCTGGGCTGCTGCAGCAGAACACCACAGACCCGGTGCTTATAAACAACAGAAATTTACTGCTCCCAGTTCTGGAGGCCAGAAGTCCAAGGTCAGGGTGCCAGCATGACCGGCCGAGGGCCCTCTTCTGGCTTACAGACTTCTCCTTGTGTCCTCACAGGGTGAAAGGGGCAAGGGGGCTCTGTCGGGTCCCCTTTATGAGGGCGCTAATCCCATCATGGGGCTCTACCCTCATGACCTAGTCACTTCCCAAAGCCCCACCTCCTAATTCCATCACGTTGGGCATTGGGATTCCAACATGTCACTGTGGGGGGGACACAAGCATTCAGAGCACAGCAGGGAGCAGGTGACTGTGCCAGCATTTTAGCAGCTTCTAGGCTGTTACCCTCTTCAGGCTTTTTGCTGCTGCTTCTGTCAACGTCTATCACTTACATTCACTTTTCTCAGCTCCTCCTAAAGTTACACATGCTGCTGTCTCTCTCTGTCCGTCTTTCTCGCTCTTCCTCTCTTTGTGCCAGAAGTTTGTCTATTTCAAGAGTTGGCAAATCTTTTCTGTAAAGAGCCAGATGGTAAATACTTTTGGCTTCTCGAGCCCTGTGGTCCCTGTTGAAGCCCCTCAGCTCTGCCGTCATAGCTCTAAGCAGCCATGGACCACACAAAACAAATGGATGCGGCTGTGTTCCGATAAAACTTTCTTGGTAGACACTGGAATTTGAATTTTACATTCTTTTTTTCCATACTCAGTCTTTGAAATCTGCTGTGTATTTTACACTTACGGCCATTCAGACTCACCCATGTTCAAGTGGTCCGTAGCCACATGTGGCCGGGGCACCATACCCGGGCAGGAGAGGCCAGTGCTGGCAGCTGGTCTGGGCTGTGACTGTGTCTGTGGGCGCAGATCCCTCCCACCACCCTCGGCCCCCTCAGTCCCTGGCAAACCAGATGCCACCCTGCCCCTGCCCAGGATGCCAGTGGGCCTTCCCCAGAAGTGGGGGGTGTCTATGGGGTCCAGCCTGTGAGCCCCACCTTACCCCAACCCCGCATCCCCCAGCACTGTATTTGGGGAGCACAGCTTCTGGGGTGTGGAGAAGAGAGGGAGGAGAGAGGGAGGTACAGCAGGACCGCACATTCACCCTCCACCCCAGGCTGTGCCATCCCCACGGAAACCCCCTGAGGCTCCAGGCCCACTCCGGTCTCCAGGATGGGACAGCCCCCTTTGCCCTGGGTTGGGCAGGCCAGCAGAACTTAAAAGAGAGGATGTCAGGCCTGGGGGATTTGTTGATCTCCTAGTCCCAGAATGGGGCAATGTCTTCCTATTTCACAGTCAAGCCCTTCGCTCCGTGCCTGGGCATTCACGTACAGCCCCAGCCACAGGAGCGCGACGCTTCAGACAGGAGGGCCGAGGGTCTCCTGCAGTCCATCACACCTGGTCACAGTGTTGACCCTCCTGCTCGGAGCCCACCCCCAAGTATGGAACACGGCGCTCAGTTTCCGCTCAGCCCTGAGTGTCAATCACCGCACTGTGGGTTCTCCATTTTGAGTGAGTCCTTCGCGCATGAGCTCACCGAAGCATCAGAAAGAAATCTCCTTAATTTCTCCAGCTCTTACACTTGGTCTCCTTCCTTTAAAGACACCAGATCATGCTTTGGGAGAAAAAAATCCAACTGGCAAAAGAGATGCGTGCCTCAGTGGATTCTGAGACCGGCCAGACAGAGATCCGGGCCATGAAGGCAGAGATCCACAGGATGAAGGTGGGTGGGAGCGGGTAGGGGAACAGGGGAGCTGGGGACCCGGGAAGGGACCTGCTCCCACACAGCGCACAAGCGAAATGCACTGTTCCCTTGCGTCCTCTTACATCAGGGTCTGTCCAGCTTTTGTCCTCACTGCACTGAAATAATTGTAGGCCACACGGCTCTATGCACGGTATTTCATGAACCACCATTTTATCCTTACTCCGTGCAATCAGTGCACTCCGATATTTTTAAACGCTGGTTGTGACCTCTGAATTTCACCACCTGTTTATGAAATGTATCCCACTATTGTACCAAAAAAAATTCTCGCTCAACAAATAGCTTCAAAGAACGCACCCATCTTTTCCGTCGGAGCCGTGTGTTTCTCTCCACTGTCATCTTTAGCTGGATTTCATTACCTTAAAAAAGGCCGGTAATTAAATCACAGGCCATCATTGAGTCAAAGGTTCAGGGCCGTAAGGATACAAATCAGAGCAGTTAATAAAAATAAATGTGACATCACTTTGACAATGCCGTTTTTAATCATAGCCCCTCTGGCTGTTGAGTTCGGAGGAATTATGATCAAATGCATATGCTACTGATAAGTTTTAAAAACACTCCACTTAACTGGCTTTTCAAACCACAGAAGCCACCATGTTGCTGCGGCAGGTCAGGACCCCGCCGCGGAGCGTCCCCGCGCACACGGGCTGCCTTCTCCCGCCCCTCCAGTTGGTGGCGATTTTTCTCTTAACAAAAAGGATCTTCACATATAGCTCAGCAACTTATTTTTTAAAAAAATGATGTGGACATTAAGGCATTCTTTACCAGTTACAGAGTGTACCGTGGATACATGGTAATTTATGGAAACATTCGCAGGTGGATCCCGTTCAGACTGTTTCCAGTTTGTTGTTGTTTTGTGTCTATAAACAATGTTACAATGATGCCCTTACTTGCTGGTTTTTGTTTGTTTTCCGTAGGCTAGATTCCCAACAGTAAGATGGCTGGGTCAAAGAGTTTATAGCTTCTTCCCTGCACTAGGGTGGGACGGATGCCTCTTCCATGAAGCATGGGAGGACGGCTGTGTCCCCACAGCCTTGGCAGTGCTGGTGTAGTCAGTCTGCCAGCCTTGTCTTAAACTGAGGTATTTTATTGACTAAAAGTTCACCCTCTGTGGCATACAGCCCTGTGAGTTTTGACAAAAGACATAACAGCCATGAAACCACCACCACTTCACGATAGAAAACATTTCCGCCATCCTCAGATTCCCCCGTGCCCTGCAGTCCGCCCTCCCACACCCCAGTCCCTGACATACCAGTCCGTTTCCGTCCCGTAGTTTTGACTTTTCCAGAATGTCGCATAAATGGACCATACAGCGTGAAGCATTCCGAGTCTGGCTTTTCTCACTCAGACGCATCAGTGTGTTGAGATCCATCGTGGTGGTGAAGTCTAATACTCGGTCTGTTCTTTAACGGGTCGCTGTGGCAGTCCATCTAAGAAATCTTTGTCTAACCCGAGGTCACAAAGATTTTCTCTTTGTTTTCTTCTAGAAGCTTCATACTTTTTGGTTTTCCATTAAGGTCCATGATGTATTTGGGGTTAATTTTTGTGTGTGTTGCGAGTTGCGGATGGAGGTTAATTCTTTCACAGGTTGTTCCAGTTCCCTTATTGAAAAGACTGTCCTTTCCCCGCTGCATTTCCTTCTCTCCCTTGTCGAAGTCAGTGGGCCACCTTGCGTGGGTCTGGGTCCAGGCTCTCTGCTGTGCTCCACTTAGCGCCTGTCCCTTCCCCGGTTCCACGCTGTCCTGCTTCCTACAGCTCCACACTTGTGTGATTCCTCCAACATCGTCCTTCTGCTTCACAATTGTTTTGTCTACACTATATTTTTTGCCTTTCCATAAAAATTTGAGAATCAGCTTGTCGATTTCTACAAAAATTCCTGCTGGGATCATGATTGGGGTCGCACTGAATCTATCCATCAGTTTAGAGAGAACTGACATCTTCGCCTGGTTGAGTTTCCCAATCTGGGAGCCCCATACATCTCTCCATTTACTAGCCCTTGTCTGAGCTCCCTCGTCAGTGTGTTTAGTTTTCAGCATCCAGGGCTTGCACATGTTTTGTTCAATTTATAGCTAAGTATTTCATGTTTTCTGGTGCTGTTATAAATTGCACTTTTTAATTTTTCAATTTCCAATTGCTCATGGTTAGTATACAGAAATATAAATGACTTTTAGATATTGGCTTTGTTTCTGTGATTTTGCTAAACTCATTTGTTTACTAGTCTTTATCATATCTGACAATCCATGTGTGAAAAGAGGTTTCTCAGTGTTCTGTGGATTTGCGTTGCTGGCTTACCAGGGGGGACTGAACACAAGAATGCGCCTCTGGGTGTATGTGTGCGCCTGTGTGTGCCCTTGTGGGTGCGTGCCTGTGTGTGTGTGCTCGCATTTGCATTTCTTCATCTAGAGGTTGCCTGTGCATATCTTTGGCTGATTTTCCTACTGGGCTGTTTTCTTATTTCTTAACAATTTTTAGGAGCTCTTTGTACATTGGGGTTGCTAACCCCTGTCTTTTTTTTTTTTTTTTTTTTAAATTTTTATTTTTCCTTTTTCTCCCAAAGCCCCCTGGTACATACTTGTGTATTTTTTTAGTTGTGGGTCCCTCTAGCTGTGGCATGTGGGACGCCGCCCCAGCATGGCCGGGCGAGTGGTGCCATGTCTGTGCCCAGGATTCAAACTGGCGAAACCCTGGGCTGCTGAAGCGGAGCACGCAAACTTAACCACTCGGCCATGGGGCCAGCCCCTAACCCCCGTCTTTAATACCGATTACAGACACTAAAATCTCTAGTCCGCCATTTGCCTTTCCACCCTGTCCAGGGTGTTTTTATCACTCAGAATGTTTTTAATGTTTAGTTGTCTAACATATCAGTCTCTTTCTTTATGGTTTCTGGGTTTCCTGTATTACTCAAGAAGGTCCCCCCAGCTTGAAGTTGCACAAATATAGTCCTAAATCCTTTTCCAGGGTTTGCACATATTTAGATCTTGAATCCACCTGGAATTTATTTGGGGTTATGGTGTGAAGTAGGGGTCCCGCTCTATTTTCTCTCAGCTGGGAGTGAGTTATGCTGACAGCAGGTAGCCAATAATCTGTGCTTTCTCACTAAATTGAATGCCACATTGGTGAGAGCAGCTCCCCACATCCGTGCTGTCCCCATGCCTTGCCGTCCCCATCCCATGCTCATCCTGCTGTCTCTGCTCTGCTGAGATTGTGACAAGGCTGTGCCAGTGCAGAGCATTTGGTGACTGTCACTCTGCATGTCACGGTGCGTTTTAAACCTGGTGGGCTAGGTCTCCCACCACCATTCTTACCATAACTTGGGGATTCTTGCCTGTTTATCCTTTTTTGTTTTAAATCAACTTCATTGCAGCATAACTTATACACAATAACATGCATTTATTTTAAATGTCCAGTTTGATGAGTTTCAACACAAGTACACATGTATGCCGCCACGACGATCAAGACCTAGAACACTCTACCACTCCAGAAAGCTCTCTCGTGCCCCTTATGGTCCATCTCCCACTACAACCCAATCCCCAGCCCCAGGTCCCACAGACCCTTCTTGTCACCACCTCACAAAACCACGGCACATTTTATCCCAACTAAGAAATTAACCTTGGTGCAATACAGTTAAGCAAACCACAGACTCTAACCGCATCTCCCCGTGTCTTTGGCTGACGTCCTTTTTCTGCTCCAGGATCCGATCCCAGATGCATGCAGTCCTCCTGTCTCCTCACCTCCCTGATCTCTGACGGTTTCTCTGTTGGCCTGCGTGGCTGTGTATTCTTTATGTGGACTTTAAGATCATTCTGACCAGCTGATGATGCCCCCAGGCTCCTTTTCCCTCCAGCGGCATCACCCTGGTGGTCTCCCTGCTGGCTCAGTCAGGTGTAGCAGGAGACAGCGCTGGCCGCTATCCTGCATAGCCGTGTCTCGGCCTCCCGCCCCAGCCCCTTTGTCCTGTGTCCCCAGGTCAAGCATGCGCAGCTGCTGAAGCAGCAGGAGAAGATGATCCGAGACATGGAGCTGGCCGTCGCCCGCAGAGAGACCATCGTGACCCAGGCCGAGGGGCAGGGCAAGACAGACAGGAAGTTGCTCACCCGGACAGACTTCCACCACAAGCAGATAGAGCTGCGGCGAAAGATCAGGGACGTTCACAAGGTAGGGGAGGCACACGACAAGGAAGGGAACGTGCCGTGGACCGCCTGTCCACAGGCTGCACCCACCTCTGTCCCCCTTGCACATGGTCAGCAGGTGTGGGCAGCCTGGCTGGCAGGCGTCCCAGGCATCACTGTCCAGGGCTGTCCTCCTGAGGTACCTGCCTCCACATGGGCTGTGACTTCACTCTCTCCCTCCAGCCGCCTCTCAGTGGTCCCTCCCCACCCCATTGCACTGTCACCTCTTCTTCTGCCCCTCACTCCCAGAGTTGCAATCAGAGCTGCCCTGTCGGGCTGTTTTACGAGGCAGAGAAGTGACAGTGGCGGGAATGGGGGATGGAAGGAGCCTGGCTTTGGAACCAGACAAGCTAGCTTTCTCCTGCACTGGGGACAGAAGCCGCTGCATCCTCTGGCCCGAGCCCCACAGCCCGTGTGCTGCTTCCGGGTAAAGATGCAGTGGCTGCAGGAGGTGCCCGCCGCACACCCCTAACCTTCTGCCACAACAGGCCCTTCATGGGTCCAAGAGGAGATCCACTTGGGTGGCTGCAGCCGCCCTCTGCTGAGTGGGAATGGCGCCCGGGAAGCAGGGAGCATCCGGGAAGGTCACATCGCTGCCCCTGGGCAGGGGCTGGGCACCGGCTGATGGGAATGCGGAGAGCACCCACTTGAGCCCACATGCTCATCCCCCAGGCCACACTGACCCAGCAGGTGGCGTATGCCCCACCCTGGGCAGGCTGGTGCTGATCCTGTGCCCACTCCTTCAGCCGTCGCTGGGCCCCCTGGGCCCCGCTGGCCAGCGGTGTAGCCTTGTGCATGTGTGGAAGCTTTCTAAGCCAGCCTGTCCTCGTCTGCCGGGTGCAAATATGAGCACTGACCCCTCCCAGATGGGCCAAGGGTTACATGAGCGCTCGGCCTCGGCTCGCTGACCTGTGACATGGGTCCTCACCATGCGGAGGCACCCAGATGATTAAGTGGGGAGCGCTGGAATAGCCCCTGCAGGCTGTGAGCCTGTGCGAGGAGAGATTAGCCGAAAACGACACCCTTGACCCCGCTGCTTGGCTGGCAGTTCCCAGAGGCGGCAGGGTGGCCTTCTCTCGGTCCCCGTTAGCCAGTCTTCTCTGCCACAGTGGCCACTCCTGACAGCCATTCTTCTCTACCCCCAGGCCCCCAGTGCCTCCTTTGCCTCTGCCCAGCTCGGCCGATGGGCTCCTCTCTGCTGCTCCCCCACTGAGCACCGCCCGTGCCCGCCCGACACCCCTGCGCCCCACGTCCTGCTCCCAGCGACGGGATGTGGCACCCAAGTCCTCCTGCCACACACACCCACGTGCCATGCCCACGCGACCTCCACTGCTCGTGCACAAGCTGCCCCTTTCCCATCCCTGCCAGCTCCATCACAAATTCTGCAGCCAGACCCCGAGAGCCACTCCTGTCTCTTCTTCAATCATCCGCCGGACCCCACCAGCTGCCAAATGCCGCCAGCTTCCTCTTTCTCCTAATTGTGCTGCTCCCCTGAGAACCAGCCTGCCCCCAACCTCACGGTGATGGACCCTGGCCTCCGCTTCCCACCCCACTGCAGACGCCTCCTGAAGCGCCGGGCCCACTGTGACTCTGAAGGGGCCCCCCTCCCCGTGCTGCTGGCCGCCTCCACTCCCACCATCCTCTTTCTCACACTCCCCAGCCCACGTCTCTGACCCCCCCTCCCCTCGTGACCTCAGCCCCTGCCCCGGGCGTCTTCCTCCACCCTTGGCACACAGCTGCCCAGCTGCTCCTGGTCCTCATGCCCTTGCAGACTGACGCACTGCAGGAGGGGGGGGCCCCCAGAACTCTCAGGCCCCCCAGGTCTTTTTCCAAGCCACGTCCACCCTCAGGCAGCTGTCTGCAGTGTGGGCTCAACTGGGCCCAGCGTCTCCCTGGGACTCATGGCCCCTCCAGGTCACACACCCGCGGGGCAGGGACTGCCTTTGTCCTCTCTGGGAATCCTCTCGGATGGCGCGTAGAAGGCTCTCGGCGGGTCCTTCCGGCCTGACTCTTCTCTGTGCTCTAAGTAACCAGGAGGCAGCGTCCCAGGATGACCCTGTCTGTCTCCTAGGCCACTGAGGAGTGCACCAAAGTCATCCTGGAACTGGAAGAGACTCAGAAACGCATGAGCAACTCCCTCCTGGGGAAGCAGGAACAGCTGTCAATGATGCAGTCCAACGTGGACGATCTGGAAGCCGACCTGGACCACCTCCGGGCCCTTAAGCGACAGGTAGGCAAGTCCCCTGGGCCACAAGAACCCGGGCAGTGGAGTCTGCCCCTCGCAGCAGCAGGTCTGCGCGTCCTCGGGCGAGGCCTCCTCCCGACCCAGTTAGGCCCAGGCTGATCGCAGGCAGCACCACCAACTGCTTTGCGATCATTCGTTCATCCAATATTGACCCTGTGTCCTTTATGGGCTGGGCAGGGCTCTGGGTGCCATGAACAGAAAAGACGACCGCCCTGCTCTCCCCGAGGTTACATCCTGGGGGTGGGAGGACAGATGATAAACAAATAAGAAAAAAGATACCGTGTGTCAGATGGTGATAAATACTCTGGAGAAAAATAAAGCAGAGAAGGGGCATCGAGAGAATGGGGATTGCACTTTTAAGTTGGGTGGTCCGAGAAGGCGGCACAGAGTAAACGACCTTTGAACCAAGCCTTGCAGGAGGTGCCAGATCGAGCCACCCCAGGTAGAGAGGACAGCTGGGTAAAGCAGGAGCTTGAGACCGCCCAAGGGCCAGCCAGAGGCCAGCAGGCTGGCCTCGAGGGCAGAGAGGGCTCCGCCAGGCCACGCACAGCCTTAGAAGGGCATGAGCATGACTGCGGGCTTGTCTCAGGGAGGTGGGAAGACAGTGGAGGGGCTGGGGCTGACCAGGGACTTGGGTCCAGCAGGATCCCCCTGGCTCTGAGGTTGAGTGTGGGACGGAAGGGTCAAGGGTGGACCTGGGAGGCCTGTTTGAGGCCATCACTGTACTTAGGAGGATGCATGTACGGTGATGCATGGACCAGGGCAGTAGCTGTGAGGCTGGTGAGAAGCCGTCAGAGTCTGCATATAACTTCAAAGTCGCCCCTTTGAAGGCTAGACTGGATGTGGTGTGAGCAGAAGAGGCAGGTCAAGCAGGACTGCAGGGCCTGGGCCTGATCAGTGAGATGGGGAGAGAGGGAAGGGAAGCGTCCAGCCGTGGGCCTGGCAGGCAGCAGGTGTCTGGTGTCTCTTAGACGATGGACAAAGGAAAAGGGCCCACCCCAGTGCGTGTCAGCCTCTTCCCCTGGACGTGGAGACAGTACCTTCAGCGGTTCCCTTTCCTGCACAGTGTTCCTCTGGCATTGCCTTGAGGCTGAGTTTGTGTGGGGACCAGTGGGTGTCCTCTTTTCAATTTGCACAGTCTGACCCGGGGTTTCTTGTCCCACCCAAGAACCTTTCGGAGCTCGTGGCCCTGCAGACGCGCCTTAAGCACCTGCAGGCCGTGAAGGACGGCAAGTACGTGTTCCTGTTCCGCTCCAGTCAGTCGCTGCTGGCGGAGCGCGGGCGCCTGGACAACCGGCTGGCCGTCATCAGCACCATCCTCGACCGCGTGAAGGACGAGTACCCCCAGTTCCAGGAGGCCCTGCTCAAGGTCAGCCAGACGATCGCCAACAAGCTCGAGAAACCGGGGGCCTCCTAGAGAGCAGCCTGGACCCCGCCTACCAAAGCTGGCCCCCAAGGAAGAGATTAGAATTTTGTGTATTATCAGGGACTTAGAATCTTTCTGTGTCCCTGAAAGCCATGTCTACCCTCACAATGACACTGTTTAAGAGAAATAGGCCAGCACTGCAGGAATTCTTTTTTAGCCACCCAGCAACTTAAACCACGTCAAATCCCAGGGTTTCCAGTTGCGCTTCAGGGAGTCTTCCGTTTGCAAAGTCAGTCCCTGTGAGCAGAACCCGTGTTCCTGCCCGGGACTCACCCGGCCAAGTAAAGCTGGGGTTTGTGGCGGCTCCCTTTTCTGCGTATGAGAGTGGTCAGAAGGGCACTGCGTGTCCTCGGAGCTGTGCCGGTGCCGGTTCAGAATCCCGCTGGGTGAGGAAAGGAGAGCGGACCCCACGAAAGCAGGGGCACGATGGCGCCCATCCCTCAGTGCCTCTACGAGGGTGCACCTGCAAATCCACAGCCTGCGTTCCCGTCCACAGTTTCCCCATCCCCCCTCCCTGGAACTCAGGTCCCTTCTCCCGTCCCGACTCCCACATTCACAGCTCATCCCAGGGCTGCCCCCTTGTCCGGCCTGTGGCCCACCTGGAGCGCTCCTTCTCCCGTCCTGACTCCTGAGCACCTGCTACCTTGTGGCTTCTCTGCAGTGTGAAGGAAAAATGTTCTACAAAATAATTTCACTTTCAAACTTTTCACTAGAAAAATAAAAAATTTTTTTCTGAACATTGGAGAAAGGCATGTTTATTCTAAAACGTTTCAGAAATACAAAAACCATAAGGACGCCGAGGAGGCCCACTGCCCTGCTTTGACAGGCTCCTTCCAGTGTTTTCTGTGCACGCTCCTCTTGGCAAAGATCGCAGTGTGTGTCCAGCTTTTGTACTTCATTTTGAAAAGCTTGTCATTTTAACATAAGCATTTTCTTGTTGCATGAAAACTTCCTTGTAAATGTCATTTAACATTTCTACAAGAGCCGATTTTATGGGTTATGACAATGCTCTCTTTCAAGGAACAAGTTTGTTACTTAACTAAAGTTGCTTCCAAATTTTCGCTACTGTTGCACTGTCGGTGCCGAACACCTGTGCCCCCCTTTCAGGCCAGGTTTGCATCAGGGGCGTCCCGGGCCTCGGGCATCCTGGGAACCCCGGGAAGCCGCGGGGACCAGGCGGCGAGGGGCGCGCTCACGGGCGGCCACGTGCAGGCCCGCCGCTGCCCGGGGCGCCCTCCGCCGCAAGGTGCGCGCCCCCTCGGGCTCCTCCCACCCTGCAGGGCGCAGAGGTCCGCGGAGGGCGAGAACCGGGAACCCCCGCGCACACGCGCCCCTGCCCGCCACCAGGGTGCGCACCACCGGAGAAGCGCGCCCGGCCTAGGGCGTCTGCGCAGGCGGCCTGTCACGTGACCCACTCCCCTCCCCTGATTCTCCTGACCCGGGGTTGCCGCTGCGGGCCGCGCGCGTGCGCGGAGGTGAGCAGGCTGGGGCCGGGCGCGCGTGCGCGGAGGTGAGCGGGCCCGGCCGTGGGGAGGCGGATGCGGGTGGTCCCGGCGGGGGCCCGGGGCCGGGGTCGTCTGTGGCCGGCTCTCCGACGCGAGGCGTGGCGGATCGGGGCAGTCCTGACTCCCGAGAGGGAGGGATCGATCGATCGATTGATTGGTCGTCAGTGACTAACCATTTAGAACTGGAGCACATCGTGCCGGGGTCCGTGTGCGGCAGGTGGGCAGCAGTAACGACCAGGACCCCATAAACGACGGGGACCCCAGAAACTCCACAGTTCTCATTCACTACCCCGCTGCTGGGCGAGGAAGGCGGCACTTGCCCCCTTTCACTGGGAGGAAACTGAGGCACCTGAGGTTAAGAACCCTTGCTTCCCACGTCAGTGGTGGAGCTGGGCTTTGAACCTGGCTTGTCTATACGACCACCCTGAGCCACTTCCTGAAAGGGGAGGGACAGGCTCTCCTGGTCAGCTGCGCCACTTGACCTCCTGATCCTCAGTTCTTGCCCGTTTTTCTCTCAGTCGTCGACCTCGCGGGGCTCGGCTCTTCCCCATTTCTAGGATCACTTCCCCATCTGTGAAATGGAAACATGGGGAGGGGATGTGCTGGTAGTCCTGGATGCGTCCCCGAGCCACCGCTGCAGCCTCTCACTCCAATTCCTGGACCACTAGCTGGGAGGGGAGCTCCCTGAGTGAGGACCCCGGACCACACTCTGAGTTCCCTGGTTTCTGAATCTCGTGATCACAGGTGTCAGATGTATCTGCAAGGGTCAGGTGGAGCTGTGACGCTTTGTGGTATAAAAAATAAATATTTAGTCTTTGTCTCCAGTTCCTGGCACACAGCTCCTAAAACCCCTGGGATATTGGGAATGATGTCTTTTGGACGCTAATGAGATGACTGGAGGCTGGGCGCCTCTGGATGGCTGCTTCAGGATGGAGGCCGGTCCCCAGAGAGACCAGGGCAGGATTGGAGGGTTGCAACTTTCACCCCCACCTGCACCCTCTGGAAAGTGGAGGGGGTGGGTGGTTGAGCCAGTCACCAATGGCCGATGATGCAATCAATCGTGCCTACATAATGAAGCCTCCATCAAAACCATAAATTAGTTGGGGTTTGGAGAGCTGCCAAGCTGGTGAGCACAATTTGGTGCTAGGAGGGTGGCCAGCCCGGAGAGGGCATGGGAGCTCCCGCCCTTTCCCCGTACCTTGCCATCTGGCTGTTCCTGCATTGTGTTCTCTCTAATAAACCGGTAACAGTAAGTCAGCTGCTTTCCCCAGTTCTGTAAGGTGTCCCAGGAAGTGGAGTGGCAGGGGTTGTATGAACGTCCGAATTTATAGCCAGTTGGTCAGAAGTGCCGATGACAACCTGGGCATTGAGGCAGTCTTGTGGGACCGCACCCTTAACCTGTGGGGTCTGCACTGACTCCAGGGGCTCGTGTCGGAATTGAGTTGAATCATTGGATGCCCAGCGGGTATCTGGGGAGTGGGAGAATTGATTGGTGTGAAAATAAAAAACCCCGCAGGTTTGGTGTCAGAAGTGTTGTGAATAAAAACAGTTCACTCTTGCACCTCATTTACCAGGGGCCTGCGGTGGCCAGAATGTTCCAGGCGGCTGGTTTGTGTCTGAGACAGGCTCAGACTCCCTCCATGCCCAAGGGGCACTTCTTCCTGGCGCGGGACTTTTTCCCAACATTTCAGAGTTTGTGGCAGCTGGGAGAGTGCGTCTCACTGACCTCCCGCCACAGGGAGCCTCGCCGACCCCAGGCCCAGCTGCCGAAACCCATGGCTGCACCGGCTCCAGGGGCGGGCTGCTTCCCGGCCCTAACCCCAGGGCTGGCCGCTGAGGGGACCCTGGCCCCTCTAATGGCCACCTGTGGCTCGAGGATCCCCCACAGCCTTGCCGAGCCTTCCTTCACCTGCGTGGCAGACTGGGATGCTTGGACCCTCCCGGGGGGCAGACCTGCATGGGGTGCGGTGGCTCGACGGCCTTCCCCGGCATCCTCCCCACTTCCTCTCAAACAGCCAAGGACTCCCCTGATAGAGGCCTTGCACCTTGACTCCCGTGTTGGTGGCTGCTGCTCCTCGGAGGAGCCAGACCAACAATGTTCCTTATAAAACGTTTGGAGCACAGATCAGCAGACCGCAGGTAATCACCGTCTTCGCACTGGGTCACCAAAGTGAGGCTCCACCTGCGGCTGCCGTGACAAAGACCCAGAGCCCCGAGTTCCCCCGGCCGTGTTCCCCGAGCTGGGTGGCTGTCTCCGCACCTGACCTCGGGGGCCAGGAGGGACTCTGATGTGCCAAGTCCTGGGGGCCAGGCCTTCCTCCTGTGACTTTGCCATGCCTCGGGTGTTGCTCTCAGCTGCAGGGCCCAAAACGTCTCCCCAGGCTGTGTCGGCATCCAGGTCAGCAGGAGAGGAACAGAGGGAAGGGGGCGGTCCCCGTAAGGCACTTCCACTTCCACCCCATTGGCCAAAACTTAAGAACCTCAGCCACAGAAACAGGGCTTATTCTGTCTACTGTTGTAACTTGCTGTTCCACGTGGTGTCAGCCTGTCACGTGGGTCCTTTGTGTCATGGAATCATTTTCCACATGTTCTAAGTGGCTTCCTTTGTAACATGTACAGGACTTCATGGTGCGCGGCATTCTGCAACCCCTATTTGGACTCTTCTCTCTTTTCCCTTTTTCCTCCCTCCCGGACACTCTCCGAACAGTGCTGGTGGCTCGTCCATCCTCGCCTGCCGCTTCCTCCACAGACCTCACCTCCGCCCTGGGCACTGGGGGCTGGCCACCAGTTCATGTCTGGACACTGCTTTGAGAGGCCCTCGAGGCCCCGGTCACTCCCTCCTGCCTTCCCTGTTGAGCCTGGCTCTTCTCTCAGCAGGCCTCCAGGACCCGTCCCTGCTGCCCGAAGGCGCTGCGACCATGGATGGGAGGCGGCTGCCCTGCTCCCGCCCCCTGGGGCTCTGCGTCCTCGTCTGCTTGGCCACCGCTGCCCTCCTGGGGCATGTCCTGCTGCACGATTTCACGATGGTCCCCCGAGAGCTGCATGGCTTCTCCCAAGTACCCAAGGAGATTTACCGAGCTCCCCAGCAGGGAGCCAGCGGCCCAGGGCCCCAACCCGCCCCAGGGCGCCGCGGCAGTCCCAGAGCAGCTCCGGCACAGTGCGACACGCCCCCCGACAGCCGCTTCGACTGTGCCCCAGACAAGGCCATCACCCAGGAGCAGTGTGAGGCCCGGGGCTGCTGCTACGTGCCTGCCAGGCGGCAGCCTCCGGGCTCCCAGATGGGGCAGCCCTGGTGCTTCTTCCCCCCCAGCTACCCGAGTTACAAGCTGGGGAACCTGACCACCACCGAGATGGGCTACACCGCCACCCTCACTCGAGCCGCCCCGACCTTCGTCCCCAAGGACATCCTGACCTTACGGCTGGACGTGCTCGTGGAGACTGAGAGCCGACTCCACTTTACGGTGGGTGGGGGTGGGGGTCAGGCTCATACAGAGACGGGGGCCACGGGCGGGGGCTGAGTGGGGACAGAGGGGACAAAGATAGGCTCTACTGCATGTTTGTTTCTTGCACAGTGTGTTTTGTGCCCTCACTGGGAGTCCAGGAGTGCGTGGACACAGTACCTACACTCAGGGAACAGTGGGCTACTCGACAGTTACTAGAAGGTTCTAGAATGTGTTCTAGAGGGCAGTGCTCAGGGTGCGGTAGAGGGAGGTTAGGCCTCCCCCAGGAAGTGACGTCTCAACTGGGACCTGAAGTGCTGCGGGAGCCAGCAAGCAGAAAGGTGGAGAGGGAGGAAGGGAGCATGTTCCGGGCAGTTGAGTTCCAGGCTGACTGTCCGTCCTCCAGGGCAGGGCCTCTTGCGTGATTATTCTCTGCAGTTTCCCGGCCTCTGGAACAGTGTCCGGCGCACAGCAGGTGCCCTGTAAACACTAGTCGACTGAATCAGCGTGCAGACACCTCACTCAGCATGCCCGATGATTTTAACAGCAATTTATCGCAGCCGTCCTTGGCTGAGCAACTGCCGTGCGCCGGACAAGAGCGAGGTGCCCTGATCGTATTTTCTCACTCACCCTGTGACAAGGTGTGCCAGGTGGAGTAGCATTGCCAGATTCAGCAAATAAAAATACAGGATGCCTATTTTAAAAATTATTTTTTAAATCATTTTATTTTAAATTTATTTTACAATAAAATTTTGTGATAAAACACATATAAAATCTATCATCTTAACCATTCTTTTTTTTTAAAAGGATTTTGTTTTTTCCTTTTTTCTCCCCAAGGCCCCCCGGTGCATGGTTGTGTGTTTTTGGTTGTGGGTCCTTCTGGTTGTGGCATGTGGGACGCCGCCTCAGCATGGCTTGATGAGCAGCGCCATGTCCGTGCCCAGGATCCGAACCAGCAAAACCCTGGGCCACTGAAGCAGAGTGCACGAACTTGGCCACTTGGCCATGGGGCCGGCCCCTTAACCATTTTTAAGTGCAGAGTTCAGTGGCTTTAAATACATTCACATTGTTGTGCAACCGTTGATTAATTTTAAACATTATAACCTTGGTGACGGCCCCATGATAGTATTTCCTAAGGTCTCCTCTCTCTAAGGCTGATGGATTTTCCTTGAGGAAGGAAGAGTCAGGGAGAAGATGTTGCTGACTGATGGGTGAAAGTTATGGGGGGAAGCATTTAGCTAAACATAAGAAAGAACTTTCTATGTTTAGGTCTGACCAACAGACGAACGGAAGGCCTGGGAGCTCCCTAAAAAAAAAAATACAGGATGCCTAATAAATTTGAATTCCAGATAACTGTGAACGAGTTTTTTTTTTTTAGTGTATGTCCTATGCAATATCTGGGACATACACTGAAAAACAATGTTTTAATCTGAATTCAGGTTTATGGGCCTCTGTGTTTGACCTGGCTACCCACGGGGGGCGCTCCCCTCCTGGCTCTGTGGGTGAGGAGATGGGCTCAGGGAGGCTGCCCAGGATGCCCGCGCTCACACCCTGCGGCCGTGGGGCACAGCCCCGAGCCCCTGCTCCTCGGGAGGGTGAAGGACGGCGTGTGGAGGTGTGCAGGGCCACCGGCCCCCAGAAGGCCTCCGACACCTCCGTCTCTTGCCTTCTAGATCAAAGACCCCGCCAACAGGCGCTACGAGGTGCCCCTGGAGACCCCGCGCGTCCGCAGCCGGGCAACGTCCACTCTCTACAGCGTGGAGTTCTCGGAGGAGCCCTTCGGGGTGGTCGTGCGCCGGAAGCTGAACGGACGGGTGCTGTGAGTGAACGGTCCCTGTGCCCCCACCGTGGGTGGGAGGGCCAGGGAGTTGGATGGCATTGGCCCTGACCCTGTCATGATCCGCTTGCCCCCTCGGGGCCTCCTCGCTGTGCCTGACCCCCATGCCCCAGGCCCTGGTGCTCGCCCTTCCTCCACCCAGCTCTCAAAGGCCTCTCCTCAGGCCCTCGACTGTCCAGCCCAGGGAATCCCAGCTGGGGGGTTTTCCCCCAGGGGACATTCGGCAATGGCTGGAGACATTTTGATTGTCACCCCTGGACATGGGAGTGTAGGGTTGCTGCTCAACGCTGCACAATGCACAGGACACTCCCACAGAAAAGAATGGCCTGGCCCGAATGTCAGTAGTGCCTTGGCTAAGGAACCCTGGTCCAGTCTGAAATGGCACCCCACTCCAGGCAACATCCCCTCACTGGCCTTGTTTCTATTTTATTTGTCAAATACTCCATGTCACTTCTTACAGCTCAGGCACTGTAGTTATAACTTATCTAATCCTCATAACAACTCAGAAGTACGTGCTGTTATCCCCACTTTACAGATGGGGAAACTGAGGCACAGAGAGGCAAGGTGACTTACTGGCAGGTGACAGAGCCAGGGTCCCAGCGTCTATGCTGCTGGCCACTCTCTGCTTCGTGTCCCTTGGGGGCTTGTGTTCCCCCACAGAATCTCAGGTTGTTGGGATCATTGCTGCCGTCTGCCTGCAGCAGGCGCCTGTCCCGTCCGGGTCACTCCTGAACCTCCAGGTCCTGGAGCGGTTCTGACCCACAGGAGGTGTTCGGTGGCTGTTGTGGAGAGAATGAGGGCACTGCCTGTCACGCCCTCACCTCCCCCGCCCGCCCCCAAGACTGAACATCCTTTAGACTCAGAGGCCATGGCTGTGATTCTGAGGGTCCAACATGGCCCCTCCTCAGGAGGACAGACCCAGGGGCCCAGAAGCGCTCCTCGCCCAGCCATCAGGCCAGGGCAGGGCCCTCCCCTCGCCGGGCAGCAGTTCCACCACAGCCCTCCGTCTGCCCCACCATTGGGGGGTACAAACACATTTCACAGGACACACCCTGTGCTCCTTATCCACCCAGTCCCGCATGAACATGTGCTCCAAGGGCCCTGCATTGTCGCTGAACTCGGGGACGAGCTCCCTTGGCCTTGCTTAACTTCAAAAGAACTCGCCTCCTGGAATGCGCTTTTTCCCGCTCATTCCCTGGCTGAGCATTGTAGGCCTGCCCCCGGGGCTGACGAGAGGGCAGCCAGCGAGTCCGTCCAAGCCCGGAGGCGGGGGCAGAACCGCCAAGAAAGCCCCAGACACGGGCTGTGCGGATGCAGAGGGCAGGGCTGGCTCCGTGGCAGGGAGGGCAGAGCAAGGCCTCTCCAAGAAGCTGACTTTTGCACAGAAACCCCGTGGAGAGAAGTTTTTTAAAGCATTTTATCAGATTTTGGTCTTGAAAACACACGCCCGCAGATAAGTAGAGTCTTGCCCGGGGCGGGCAGGGTGCAGGGGGGCTCCCCCCGTGAATTAGCCATGCCACGTCTTCCTCGTGGCGAGGGGCCACGTCCTTGGTTTTGCCTTGCTCTCGACCCTGTGTGACCTCGGGAGGCTGGGCCGCTCCACGGGCTCTGGAGCTGTGGGGGGCAGGACTGGCCGATGTCTGTGAGCCCTTGGGGCCTTGCGGGAGGAGCTTGGGGCCACAGCTCCGGGGCTGGAAGGATTTCGCGTAGCCCTCGCCCAGGACCAGTTTGCCAGCAGGGCCCATGGGGCAGTCGGCCCTGGAGGCCTGCCTGCGGTGACGTGCACACGGCCAGGCGGCGCAGCACCCCTTCTCTGGATGCGCCCTGCGTGCTCCCACGCCCGTGTCAGGGCCCCGAGGGCTCTCGGGCCTCTCATGGCTGCCTCCGTCCTGGGGTTGGGGTGTCACGGAGCTGGCCGGGCCACAGCAGCCCTCCTCAGGAGGTCTCTCGGGGAGGGTGCACCGAGGGTGCGAGGCCGCCTGGTCTCTCCCGCAGGCTGAACACGACGGTGGCCCCCCTGTTCTTCGCCGACCAGTTTCTGCAGCTGTCCACCTCCCTGCCATCCCGGTACGTCACTGGCCTTGCCGAGCACCTTGGCCCCCTGATGCTCAACACCAACTGGACCAAGATCACCCTCTGGAACCGGGACATCGCCCCCACGGTACAGGGGCAGCTGGGGCGGGGCCTGGGACCAGAGGAGCCGTGTGGACTCGGGAGCTGAAGCGCCGTGTCCGCCGTCTCCCAGCCCTCCGTGAACCTCTACGGGTCCCACCCTTTCTACCTGGTGCTGGAGGACGGCGGGTCGGCTCACGGGGTCTTCCTCCTGAACAGCAATGCCATGGGTAAGCCAGTGGGCGGCCACACCCAGCGGGCACCAGAGTCCCCCAAAACCCCAGCCAGATCTGTCTCTGAGCCCCCAGGCCGGTGCCTTCTCTGGGTGTGGCTGCACTACCTCCCTCATAGCGGGGACGTGGGGCTCTCTGCGTCTGCCGTCAGACTCGGGGAGAGGAGAGCGGCCATGGGCAGGGAGTCGGGCCTTGTCTGCTCTTCCAAGAAACCAGTCCAGGGGGCTGCGACCTCCGCCAGCTCTGCCTGTCAGTGCCCCTAAGGTGGGCTCTGGGACTCCTGCTCTGGGGGGGCAGTCAGAGGCCAGAAAGGGGAGTCAGCATCTTCCTGTCCCGCTCCAGGTTTCTTAGTGAGTCAGGCTCAGGGTGACTTTCCCCCAGGCCCCCCTGGCAGGCCACTCCCAGGTTGCCTGTGGGAGGACCCCCTCTGACAGTGGTTTGCCCTGTCCCAAAGGTCTCGGGGAGGGGGTGGGGGGGAGGTATTTTGTCCCTGAGCCCCAGGGCTGCTTCCCCCAGATGTGGTCCTGCAGCCTAGCCCGGCCCTCAGCTGGAGGTCAACTGGCGGGATCCTGGACGTGTACGTCTTCCTGGGCCCGGAGCCCAAGAGCGTGGTGCAGCAGTACCTGGAAGTCGTGGGTAGGCCTGCTCCCCTCGTCCAGCCCCACCGCCCCTCCTCCCCTCCCCCCGACCCTCTCATGGAGTTTCACTCGCAGGCTACCCGTTCATGCCGCCGTACTGGGGCCTGGGTTTCCACCTCTGCCGCTGGGGCTACTCCTCCACCGCCATCACCCGCCAGGTCGTGGAGAACATGACCAGGGCCCACTTCCCCCTCGTGAGTGCTGGGGCTGGGGAGGTGAGGGGCTGGGCCCGGCACACGCTTCCCCAGGCCCCAGCAGCCGGCTCCTGTGCTGTGGCTGCAGGACGTCCAGTGGAACGACCTGGACTACATGGACGCCAGGAGGGACTTCACTTTCAATAAGGACGGCTTCGGGGACTTCCCGGCCATGGTGCAGGAGCTCCACCAGGGCGGCCGGCGGTACATGATGATCGTTGTGAGTGTCCCCTTCCTCCCCTCCTGCGACACCACGTGGATCTGGCTCTTTGGGAAGGAGAGCGGCCCAGTGGCCAGTGGCTCCTCCTCTAGGTGACGTCTTCCTTGTGCCTGCTGTGGTCACTGAGGACATTTTCTGAGGGTCTTTGATATCAAGGGAATATCAGATTTACAGGCGTGTCCCTGGGCCCACTGATGTCCAGCTTAAGGATCCCTAGAAGCATCTGCCTGCTGCTCACGAGCCTTTGGTTGTATGTTACTGGAACAGCTTGAAGCAAAGGCAGAGGGGCCATCAGCTGACGGCACTGGTACTGGAAGGGGCGGCTGAGGCCCTGTGTGTCCCGGCCCTGCCTCCCTGGGAGTCAGCTCTGCTCGGGGGAAGGCAGGCGGGACTCTGAGTGGCCCAGGACAAAGACACACCCTGCCTGGCCATTCTGTGGCTGGAGGAAGAGGTGGGGAGGGGAAGCTGAGACCAGAGGGTCGCACCACGGATACCCCTTCAGTAGAGGAAATCAGTTTGCCACGAGGTTTGGACTTAGCTGATGTCGGCCATTCCCATCCTCCCGGCCCCTCCGAGGGCAGCCGGCATCAGTGGCCATGCAGAGCAGGGCGGGCAGACACAGACCTGTTCTCTTTGTGCTGTGACATAGAGAAATGCTCGCTGTGCAGACTTGTGAAGCTCTAGGACCCTGAGAACAAAGGGCAAACTTGTATCGGGTGCACGCGCCCGGCCGGTGGGGCCCTTGGCTGTCTCAGGCAGAGGCGTGCATGGACCTCAAGGGCGTGCTGTGCGGCGGCCGGCTTCACCCTGCTCTGCCCCTTGTCGGCGTGCCTCGACAGCGTGTTCCCATTCTCCGGCGACGGTGCCACGGCTGGGGGCATCTCCCCCTCCTCCTGACTGGGTCCTCTCACCCCCAGGACCCCGCCATCAGCAGTTCTGGCCCCCCCGGGAGCTACCGACCCTATGACGAGGGTCTGCGGAGGGGGGTTTTCATCACCAATGAGACTGGGCAGCCGCTGATTGGGAAGGTAGAGTGGGGTCTGGGGGGCAACGGGTGAGAAAGCAGGGTCCCCGGCCAGTGGAACAGGAAGCTGTTCAGGAAGAGGGTGTTGTCCAGAGGGACAAAGCGGGGCGTGACGGTGGCTCCTGATGAGGAACACCACCTCAGATGCTTCCATCGGGGGCCCTTGGCTTCTTGGGCAGCCGGGCCCAGCCCGGGCAGGAGCCTGCAGACCCTGGGTGAGGGTCTCCTTGTCCTCCCAGTCCCCAGGGCTTCCTGATATGGGGCTCTCAGCAGAGTCCCCACCTCCCTGATCCAGGGCGTGCCAGAAGCCAGAGGAAGGGGGTCCCGGCGGGGGAGGCTCCTGGCAGCGCAGATATGCGGGGCTCTCTTCCGGGCCTCAGGGCCTTTTCTGAGAGTCGGGCCTCTGGTGCTTATTTCCCCGTGCTCTCTCACGGGTGCTCCTCGCCTCCTCAGTCCCCCTGAGGAGGCGAATGAGGCTGCACCCCGACCCGCAGCCGAGGTACGGAGGGCCTCAGTGCAGGCTCTGGGGGGCCGGGTCTCCCCTCTGGCCTCTCCTCCAGGTATGGCCCGGGTCCACCGCCTTCCCCGACTTCACCAACCCTGAGGCCCTTGACTGGTGGCAGGACATGGTGGCCGAGTTCCACGCCCAGGTGCCCTTTGACGGCATGTGGATTGTAAGTGTGGCCCCCGCCCCTGGGCATCTCTTGGCTTCTGGGGACCAGCCCTACCCCCTGCCCCGGGCAGGGGCGCCAACTGCCAGGGCCTCTCTTGCAGGACATGAATGAGCCGTCCAACTTCGTAAAGGGCTCTGTGGACGGCTGCCCCGACAGCGACCTGGAGAACCCACCCTATGTGCCAGGTGAGCCCTCCCACCTGCCGCCCCCTGGCACCAGTTCTCTGGGGATTTAATGGCTCACATTGGGGGCTTTCTTTCTCTGGTTTGGGAGACTTGAAGCTGTCATCTCTGAGGAGCCAGTGGGCGCAGCCAGCCTGGGAAAGGGTGGGGAAACCCCAGGAGTAAGGCTCAGGTCGGGGAGACGCTGGCACAGGACGCGGCCCTGGGCACATGCAGCTGAGGCACGACCTTCGGAGGGCGGGCGTTTCAGGCTGAGGCAAATGGACTGGGAAAGACTCGAAATGGGTCAAAAGCAGATGGGTGTGGATTCTGGGGTCTGCAAGGCCAGCCTTCGGCATTGCCTTGTTCCTGTCCTTGGGAAAGTGGAGACTGCACAGGGACGCACCACAGGTTCCGAGGGTGCGCCAAGCAGAGGAGAACGCCAGGCCGACCGGCAGCGAGGGGCGGCTTCAGGACGCGCCTCCGAGGGCCGAGCTGGGAGCCCGAGACCTGTGGAGGAGGGTGCCAGGGATGTGGGGAGCACGAGCCCGCTGGGTGGAGACCCCACAGAAACAGCCCTGCTCTCTTCCAGGGGTGGTTGGCGGGACCCTCCGGGCAGCCACCGTCTGTGCCTCCAGCCAGCAGTTCCTCTCCACGCACTACGACCTGCACAACCTGTACGGCCTGACCGAAGCCATCGCCTCCCACAGGTGAGGGCCCCCTTGAAGGGTTACAAGGGGCAGGGGCTTCTACCGGACCCGGGGTGCAGGAACGAGGGGAGGAAGCCCAAGCTACCCCCAAGGGCCAGCTGGTGGCCCAGGTGCTCTCCCCCACTCCACGCCTGGCCCCTCAGAGGAAGGGCCAGTGGTGACTGGAGAGGCAGGTCTGGGCTGACCAGGGCCTCTGGCTCCTGTGAGCCTGCAGGGCACTTGTCCTCCTTGTGACACGGCTCTTCCAGTGGGGTCGGGTGGCTTCGGCAGAGTAACTGCCCAGCAGACCTTGGCAGTGGCCTTGCCTCTCTCCTCCCGGCCTCAGCTCAGAGGGCTCCTTGCTCCCAGCTCTGCCTCCCTGTTGTACCACCTGGCGCTCTGGTGGGCAGTGACGGGGTCCTGGGGAGAACCTGCTCCACACAGCTCTCTCTGTCCCTCTGCTCCACCCAGGGCCCTGGTGAAGGCTCGGGGGGTGCGCCCCTTCGTGATTTCCCGCTCAACCTTCGCTGGCCACGGCCGATACGCCGGCCACTGGACAGGGGATGTGTGGAGCAGCTGGGAGCAGCTCTCCTACTCTGTGCCAGGTGAGAGCACCTGCCAGGAGGGGCTGCTCAGAGAAGAGTGTGGGCCCCTCTCAGAGGAGGTTTGCCTGGAGTTGGGTGCTGGGCTCAGCACAGCTCAGAGAGATGCTGCTGTGGTGGCGTGGGGGCCCACCTCCCACTCCTGTGGGGTGTGAGACCCACCCCGGCCCTGTGCACCTGTGCAGGTCTGCTCACCTCCTCCAGGTGTCCCCATCTCCAATTCGCCCCAGCCACTGCCTGCAGAGCCATCAGGTTCTCTCCTCTCACAGTGTCCCTTTTGGTGACCAGTCCTGAGCTGCAGTCTGCAGGGTGCCACCCGCCCCCTCATGTCAGTGCCCGGCTCCACTCTGCAAAAAAGGAATTTGATTTTTGTTCCAAGAGCTCTGATGTCGCTGATGCGTATTAGGCCCAGAGATGGCCCAGGAGCCCTGGGGAATGGGTTAGGGGTAAGGGAGTCCCAGGGTCACCACGTGGGCAGCTGAGAAGAGCCTCCACCAAAACGCCCGGCCTGGAAGTGCTTCGACAGTCACGGGCTTGCTTCTGAGTGGGATGCATCTGCAGACTCACGGCCGCAGGGATGTCCTGTCGAGCTGAGCCCAGGAGAGAAGCCCTTCCTTCCTTCTAGAAGGGGCCGCCAGCTCTGCCTGCAGGTGCATACCGGCTCTGATTTTCACCTGGCTCCAGCACCTGCAGGCCAGTCTCTGAAGCCATCTCGAGAGCGGGATCCTGGCCTTGCGCCCACCTCTCCAGTTGTTGGGTTTTGGCTCTGGTGTGAGCTGGTCATGACCTAGCAGAGCAGCTCCTAGGGTCTGTTGCAACTGAGACAGTTCCCACGGTGGCCCTGCCCGTTGGCTTCCAAGCCAGGGTCCTGGCCCCTGAGGAGACCCGAGGAGAGAGGCCAGCCCAGTGCAGCCTCAAGTCCTACTGAGCAGTGGGGTCGGCACAGGACTGAGGTGCCCTGGGACACATCTGACCCTGCAGCAGCTCAGGGACCCCCTCTGTTGTTAGCTGCCACACACTGAGTAGCTTAAAACAACAGAAACCGCTTCTCTCACAGTCCTGGGACTAGCGGGCAGAATCAGGGGGTCGGCAGGGCTGTGCGCTCTCTGAGACGCTGGGGAGGGTCCTTCCTGCGTCTTCCAGCCTCTGTGGTTGACGGCAGTCCGTGGCGGTCCTTGGATTATGGCTGCTTCCCTCTAATCTGTCTCTGTCGTCCCATGGCCTTCTCCCTGTGTGTCCTTGTCTTCACACAGCTTCTTCCTCTTATAAGGTCACCAGCCATATTGGATTAGGGCCCACCCTAATAACTTCATCTTAACTTGATTGTATCTGCAGAGACCCTGTGACCAAGTAAGGTCACATTCACAGATTCCGAGGGTTAGGACTTGAACATACCTTTTTGGGGACACAGTTCAACCCTAACGGGTCTCATTTGCTCTGCCCCCCCGGGTGTTAGGGGCAGTCTACACGGCACGCACAGGTGAGCCCACTGACCACGAGTGGGAGGCACAAAGGCCAGCGCAGCACTGGCTGTCGGGTGGGGACATGGGAGGGCCGTTATGAGGGATCCTTGCCTCTGGTCAGCTCAGCAAACGTGGCTGTCGGGCTCCTTGGCCTTGAACTGGTCCTGCTCTGGCCACCTGAGGCCCAGTCTGACTCTGCCCTCCAGAAATCCTGCTCTTCAACCTGCTGGGGGTGCCGCTGGTCGGGGCCGACATCTGTGGCTTCCTGGGCAACACCTCGGAGGAGCTGTGTGTGCGCTGGACCCAGCTGGGGGCCTTCTACCCCTTCATGCGGAACCACAACGGCCTGGACAGCCTGGTAGGGCTGGGGGCAGCGGGGAGAGTGGGGGCAGGCCCCGCCCAGGGGAAGCCCCTTCCTGACGGAGCAGCGTGGCTCATTTCCGTGCCAACAAGCCTGGTGCTGGGTGGCCGAGAAGGGCTGGGGCTCCCAGGGTAGGGACCACGGGGCCTCAGCCCCAGAGCTCAGCTGCGCCCTCTGCCTCCTGCCGCAGCCTCAGGAGCCGTACAGGTTCAGCGAGACGGCGCAGCAAGCCATGAGGAAGGCCTTTGCCCTGCGCTACATGCTGCTGCCCCACCTCTACACACTGTTCCACGGGGCACACACCAGGGGCCAGACTGTGGCCCGGCCCCTCTTCCTGGAGTGAGTGGCCTGGGCCGGGGAGCGACGGCCCATGGGCGCCCTAGGGAGGGGGGCTGACCATGGGCCCACTGACTCCAGGGCAGCCCCATCCTGTGCAGGGGTGCCCCAGGAACTGAGCGAGGGGGCAGGTTGCAGCCGAGTGAGACGAGGCCAAAACTTGGGCCCTCCATACTGGGGTGCCCCCTCATCCCCAGTCCCCCCTCTTCCATTCCAGCTCAGGGCTGGGGGCATTCAAAGTACAGAAAAGCCCGGGATGAAGAGCACTGAGCACAGACCAGGCCTGCCGCATGCTAGAGCGAGTTGTGGGGCCATCACCATTGACTCCACTGGGGCTGGCCTCAGGGAACAGGGCCGCAAAGAAACCCAGTAGCTAGCCCCCCGATGGGACTTAGTCCACGTCAGAAGTGACCATGCGATAAAATGGCGTCTCCAATCAGTGGATTAAATGATTCTCAAGTAGTAAGGGAATTAGTTAGCTATTTGCAAAAGGCGATTTATTTCCCCCTCACATCCTACAAACAGAAAGTTCTAGGTGGGTTAAATAGTTAAGTGTCAAACATGAGGCTGTAGAAAGTGCCCCAGGAAAACAGAAGTGATGTTCCTCAGTGCTCTGGTGGGAGAAGGCTTTCTAAGCATCACAAGCAAGAAAGGGCTGGCCCGGTGGCGCAGTGCTTGAGTTCATGTGCTCCGCTTTGGTGGCCTGGGGTTAACGGATTCAGATCCTGGATGTGGACCTAGCACCACTGATCAAGCCACGCTGTGGTGGCATCCCACACAAAATAGGGGAAGATTGGCACAGATGTTAGCTCAGGGCCAATCTTCCTCACACACACAAAAAGGAACAAGTAAAGGGAAGTAGGTTTAATTGAGAGAAAAAGTAACACTTCTCTGAACATAAACAGAAAAAGCAAAACTGCCCTGAGCTTATCCCGTGAAGGCCAACAGAGAAGGCACTGTCAGCGGCCGCTCCCTCTCCCTGGTATGGAAAAGCTCAGGCCAGCTGGCGAGGCCACTGTTGAGAACCCAAGAGATAAATGGGTGAGAACACAGTTTGCAAACTAGGGAATGGGAGCGGCCTCGTGCCCGAGGGTCAGGCAGGGGTGAGGCTTATGCTCAGCTCCTGCGTAGCTTTGGGTGGCCGGAGCAGCCCTGCCACGTCCAAGCCGAGTCCTCTGTCTCCTCTCTGAGCCCCCTGCGGGCCCGTTGGGCACACTGCCCTCAGAGGTCACCAGGCCCCTGTGCCCGTCCCTTCTATTTGAAGGTTCCCTGAGGACCCCCGCACCTGGACCGTGGACCGCCAGCTCCTGTGGGGGGAGGCCCTGCTCATCACCCCAGTGCTCGAGGCCGGGAGGGTCGAAGTGACTGGCTACTTTCCGCTCGGCACGTGGTACGACCTGCAGACGGTGAGTCCCGGCCCCTAAAACCCAGAACTGGGGAGTCCAACAGGCTCCCTCCTCCTGCTCTGTCGGTGTGGACCAGATGGTGACAAAGGAGCATCTGTTTGTCGAGTCCCAGCTACACGTGGGTCCTCACCTGGGTGCTCCATGGGGATCATACCGTCCAGTCCTTGCGGTGACCCACTTTCCAGGTGAGACGTAGAGGCCGAGCAGGTCGCTTGCCTGTGTCCCGCAGGCCACCCTGCCACGGGGCTGAGCTGGGTCCCGTCCTCCTGCTCCCAAAGTCCTGCCCCTGCCAGCAAGACCTGAGCCGGGGGCCTCGCAGGCTCTGTCCCCACTAGGTGACCAGGTCCCTGCAGTCAGCCCCTGAGGTCACACCCTGCTTTTCTCCGCTGGGCCTCCCAGCTCTGCGTGGAGCCCTCGGCTCCTGGTGACAGCACGGGGGCTTTGGCACTGCCCAGGGCTCTTTGTGATGGGATGTCTCCCTCCAGGTGCCAGTAGGGGCCCTTGGTGGCCTCCCCTCTCCAGCTCCTGCACCCCTCATGCCTGCCATCCACAGTGAAGGGCAGTGGGTGACACTGCCAGCCCCACTGGACACCATCAACCTCCACCTTCGGGCTGGGCACATCATCCCCCTGCAGGTACCTGGGCTGGGCACCTGAGCCCATTTATTCAGCTCTGGGGCCACCAGGACCCCTCGCTGCCTCTGTTTGATTGGAGTCCCCCCAGACCCCCAGGCAGAGAGGACGGTGTCTGAGGGTTAAGGATGAACCGGTCCAGGGAGGGATATCCGGAATGCATCCTGGCACTGACTTGTGGCCTGAGGGGAGGCCTGCTTCACTGGCTCTTTTCAGTCAGTCTGCAAACATCTGTGGGCCTCTCACATCCTCCAGGATGTCTGCCCACTGCTGTAATGGATGTGTGGGCACCACACTGCAGCCTGGGCAGGGGTGCGGGGAACCGAAGAAGGGGAGGGGCTCAGGAGAGGCTTCCTGAGGTGGAAGGACCCCAGGGGGCTTGCCAGACCTTGAAGAGGAGTGAGATGGGCTTTCGAGGGGGAACAGCACGTGCAAAGGCACAGAGCACGGCCTGGCAGGATATGTTGGAGACTTGACCAGGGTGGACACCGTGGGTGTCCAGGCCACTCGGCCGTAGGCTGTCCTGAACATCCCAGTTTCTTGCAGCACGGGACTGTCCCAGCCCAGCATTCCACTGGCCCGGGGTCTGGAGGCCTCTGCCAGGCTTGCGATAGTGACGTGTGCCACCTCCTTTCCAGGGACCCGGCCTCACAACCACAGAGTCCCGCAAGCAGCCCATGGCCCTGGTTGTGGCCCTGACCTCGAGTCGGGAGGCCCAGGGGGAGCTGTTCTGGGATGACGGCGAGAGCCTGGGAGTGCTGGAGCGCGAGGCCTACACCCACATCATCTTCCTGGCCAGGAACGTGAGTCCTGGGACATTCCCAGGCTGGTGGGAGGCCATGGGGACCATCTTGGGGGTGACTGCCCTGATCTGGTGAGGGAAGCCAGGCCAGAGGTCCTGGGATGGCCACCTGTCCCTGGGTCACCTGAGTGGAGGGCATCTCTGCCCCACAGGGGAGAAGGCCTGTGGGCCAAGCGCCCCAGCCAGAGCCCCTGTGCACTCTGCCAGCATCCGGAGGGTTTGCACAGGGGCGTGGTGCCGACCTGCCCTGTCCTATCTGCTGCCCAGAGACCCTCTCCCGGTGGGGCTTCCTGCCCCTGCTGTCTGCTCACACCTCTGGTTCTATCTTTCTCTGCTCGGGCCAGAACACCATCATAAACGAACTGTTGCATGTGACCAGTGAGGGGGCCAGCCTGCAGCTGGAGAGGGTGACTGTCCTGGGGGTGGCCGTGGCCCCCCAGCAAGTCCTCTCCAATGGTGTTCCTGTCTCCAACTTCACCTACAACCCTGACACCAAGGCAAGAGAGCCCACTGATGGGGCCAGAGGGCTTGTCCCCAGGATGGGCGAGGGGGCAGGTGCCGAGGATCCAACCCAGGGTCGGCTGAGTTGGTATCAGGACTCACTGTCCGGGAGCCAGAGGCATCTCGGCCCTTGGAAGGGACGGAGAGGAACTTGATCCTTGGTCCTTGGGGAGGAGGGGGAGGTTCAGCCCCGTGCACTGGTCTCTTTCCCGTGCCCGTCACTACACTGACGGTGACTCATGGGCTGTTTAAACAGCAGCTTGTTTTCAAAGCTGGGTAAAACAGCCGATGCCGAGAGCATTGTCCTCCGGAGTCAGCTGGGCAGGGATCAGAGCGAGAAGCCTCCCAGGGCCAGACACGTCCCGCATCCACCACCAGCCCACGGCCAGACTTCTGTCTGTCGAGCATTGGGGTCTCACCTCTGCTGACAACTGTTTGGTGGCCAATTTTTCTTTTTTTTTTTCCAGACCCTGGACATCCCTGTCTCGCTGACCATGGGAGAGCAGTTTCTCATCAGTTGGTCTTAACCAGGGGCTGATGTGTGTTGACCCCTACAGATTGACTTCCCAGAGGCCCCAGCACCTGTCCACTCTCCATCAAGGCGGGTGGGCCTTGGGGTTAGAAGCGCTTACCCCATGTCGCATGGCGATGACCTCCCAAACACCCAGATTTGCTTATGTGTCTACCTCCTGGGCTCTGGGGCTCTGGGCCAGTGGCCCATCTTTGACAGCTTTTCTCCCCAGGTTCCAGTCAGGCCAATGCCCTGAGGGTTGCCCTGTTAGGAATGTGACATCGAAGGTTTACCTCTCCATAGTCTGTCACTGTGAAGTGTGTAATGTCAGCTGCCACCAGCTGCCTGCCTGTGATGGCACAGGCAGTGCTTGGGATGGGGATGACGTACCTGCTCCGAGGTCACACCACTAGAGGCTCTGCTGCTGCTCTGACCGGATGAAAGGGTAGAGCGGGGCGGCCGCTGTAGACTGCTTTCTGGGCAGCTGCCCCCCACCCCCCGACAACAGGTCGGCGCTGTCTGCCGGCCTGAGGAGTGGGCCCCGGGGAATTCAGGACAATTCACAGGACTTAGGGAAACTCTTAATCTTAAGTGCAATTATCTTTAATAAAAGAGGCGTTTGCAATCAAGCTTCTGCTGATCCTTCTAGGGTTCAGGAGAGGTAGGATGTGGCCAAGGGCCATGACATGGGGCCCACACTGTGCATGCTCCAAGCAGCACCCTCACATCTCATCACCTCACGTCCCAGTGTCACCTCACATCCCAGTGTCACCCATCTCTAAGGTGGTTGGAGAATGTCCAGCTGGGCCTGGTTTCAGAGTCATCTGGTGGGAGAGGTGTGCCCCCCCCCCCCCAGGGCTGTGTGGCCAGGGCTGCCTCCCCGACACCTCCGTCCCCAGGCAGCCGCCGACTGGCAGCCACTGGCCTGCTTCGGTCAGTAGAGTTTACATTTTCTAGAGTTATATATGAATGGAATCACACAGCATGTATTCTTTGTCTGTTACCCAGCATAATTACTTTGAGATTCATCCATATTGGGTGTGTATCAACACCCTGTCCTTTTTCATTGCTAGTTTTCCATTGTATGGCTATTCCACCATTTGTTTATCCACTTTTAATGGACATTAGGACTGTGTTCAGTTCTGGCTTTTATGAATAAAGCTGCAGTGAGCAATCATGGACAAGTCTTTGGATGGACGTTTTCAGTTCTCTTGAGCAAATACCGAGGGTGAGATGGTCAGGTCATGTGGGGGTGGTTAATGTTTTCATAAACTCCAGGCTGTTTTCCACGGTGGGGTGCCATGCTGTGCTCCTCCCAGCAGGGTGAGAGTTGCAGCTGCTCCACACCCTCCTGTCACTTGCTATGGTCAGTCTCTTCAGTGTCAGCCATTCTAGCGAGTGGGGACCTCATTGTGTTCTAAACTGCATGTCCCTAATGACATCTCATGGACTTACCTGTCACCTATAGATCTTCTTTGGTGAAGTATCTGTTGAAACCTTTTGCCCATGTTTTACTTGGATTGTTTATTATTGAGTTATAAAATACATTAGTTTTCTATTGCTACCATAACAAACTGCCACAAACTCAGTGGCTTAAAATCGCACACACTGATTTGACATAGCTCTGTAGGTCGGAAGTTTGCAGTGGGTGTCACTGGGCTAAAATCCACGGCGGCACGGCTGCGTCCTTCCCAGAAGCTCCAGCACAGGGTCCCTGTTTGTACCGGTTGTTGGCAGAGTTCAGGTTCATGGGCGTATGGGTCTGAGCTCCACGTTTCCGTGCTGGCGTCAACCTGACGCCCTGGGCTTCTGGAGGCTGCTCTGTATCTTGGCTCGTGGCCCCGTCATCTTCAAGTCCAGCAATGGTGGGTCAGGTCCTTCCCACGCCTGAGAATCTCTGCTGCCTCCTTGTCCACCACGTCACCCTCTGACCGACTGCAGCCAAGAATATTCTGGACTCTTAAGGGCTCGTGTGATTAGTTTGGGTCCAACTGGATAATCCAGGATCATCTCATCTCAAAATCTTTAACTTAATTACACCTGCAAAGTCCCTCTTGCAATTTACTGTGACATATCCCCAGGGTCCAGGGCTTAGGACGTGGGCATCTTGGGGAACCGCTCTGTCCTGCCACACGCAAGTGCTTTATATATCCTGGTGGTACGCCCATGTTGGTGTATGGGGCACGAATGTTTTCTCCCAGGCCGTGGTTTGCCTTTTTACTTTCAGAACAACGTCTTTTGAAGAGTAAAAGTTTTTAATTTTGATGAGGCCAGTTTATAATTATTTTTATGTCCTTTTAAAGAAACCTTTGCCAAATCCAAAGCTACTAAAACTTGTTTTCTTCTAGAAGTTCTATAATTTTAGGTCTCTCCATTTCAAGTTAGTTTTTGTATATGCTATGAAGTAATGGTCAAGGCTTTTTCTTTTTTGCATATGGCTATCCAATTGTTCTGTCACCATTTGTTAAAAATATGATTCTTTCTCCAGTGAACTGCCTCTGTACTTTTGTTGAAAATCCTTTCATATAAACCTGTGTCTATTTCTGGACTTTCTATTGCATCCAGGGATCTGTATGTGTCTATCCTTATGTCCTTATTACTGTGGCTTTGTAGTAGTTCTTGCTATCTGGGAGCTAAAGTCCAACTTTGCTCACTTTTTCAAAGTTGTTTTGACTAGCTGGATCTGTATTTCCATATAAATTTCAGAATCATTTTGTAAATTTTTACCAAAAATACTAAGACTCAGTATTTTGAGTTGGTTGTGTTGAATCTGTAGATCAACTTGGGGAGAACAGACATCTCAACAATGTTGACTCTTCTAATCCTGAAGACAGCATCACTCTCATTCACTGGCATCTTTAATTTCTCACAGCAGGGTTTTGTGGTTTTCAAAGCACAGAGCTTGCACATCTTTCGTCCCCAAGTATTTCATGTTTGATGACACCATAAACTGTTTTAAAAGTTCCCTTTCCAAATGGTCACTGCTAGCACGTGGGACTACAGGTGCTCTCCGAATGCTGACCTCGTACGCTGCCGTCTCTCCTATGCTCCACAGTTAGTTCTAGTCGCTCTGTTGTAGATTCCTTAGGATTTTCTCCATAAAGGGTCACATCATCTGTGAATAAAGATGTCTTCCCTTCCAATGCGGATGCCTTCTATTCCCTCTTCTGGCCTTATTTCCCTGGCCAAACGTACAGAGTAATGTTGATGGAAGGGATGAGGACATCACGCCTTGACCCTGAGAGGGCTACTGGAAGCTCCAGTTGTAGTTGTGGGTTTGTCTGTTTCTCCCTGCAGTTTCATCAGTGTTTGCTTCCTGCACTTCCTGCATTTTGAAGCTCCGTTATTAGGTGCATAGACATTTAGGACTGGGACATCATTTTGATGAATTACCTTCATGGCTATGAAATGACCCTCTTTGCCCCTGGTCACATTCTTTGCTGTGAAATCTACCTTGTCCAACGCTGACACAACCACTCCAGGTTTGCTTCGGTGCGTGTTACCATGTGTATTTTTCTCCATCTTCTCACTTATTTGTGCTTTTGTGTTTGTTGTGAGCAGTGCATAGATGTGTCTTGTTTTATAATCCAGTCTAACAATTGGTCTTCTAATTTTGGTTTTTAGACAATTTACCCCCCGTTCACGCCTTTTGTTTTTAAATATAATTTTAGAGGATGTGTTAGATTCCCCACCTGATTTTTAACTGACGTATAGTTCACATACAATTCACCACTTTAAAATGTACAATTCGGTAATTTTTAGCACATTCACAGAATTGTGCAACCATTACCGCTATCTAATTCTAGAATATCTAACCACCCAAAGAAACCCTGTGCCCATTAGTAGTCACTCCGATTCCCCTCACCCCCTCAGCCCCTGGCAACCACTCACCTGTCTCCATAGACTAGCCCATTTGGGACATTTCATGTAAATGGAACCACAGTATGTGGTCTTCTGTGACTGGCTTCACTTAGCTTATCTTCAAGGTTCATCCATGTTGTAGCATGTCGGCACTTTGTTCCTTCTTATTGCAGAATAATATCCATCACATGGACTTACTACCAGTTTTCAGTTGGTGGACGTCTGAGTTATGTCCACTTTCTGGCTACTAGGAATAATGCTGTGAACATTTCTATTCAAGACTCACCAGCCCCCTCGTTTCTCTTAACACTCAGCCGCCATCGACTACGGCTGAACCCATTTGGTCTGTAAGGCTAGTGGCCCTGGCTGCCCCCCCAAAACCCTCCATCCACCTGCGAATGTTCCATCACTTCCCACACCAGGCCCCCGGTGAGGAGCACTCGCCTCCTTTCCTGGTGCGGCAGTCCATGTGGTGAGGCACCTGCGCAGTCCACATTCAGACCACTGCATGAGGCAGAATTATGCCTCAAAAGGAAACAACATTCTGCTCGCTCCTACTGCCCAAGAGCCAGGCTGCTTTCCAGAAAGTCTGTACCTACTGACACCACGGCCACGTTTTCCACACCTCTGCCAAGATTGAAGGTTAACGGTTAGTAAACCTTTGACAATCACATTCCACTTGTGAATCAGCAGCAGAGCTGGGCATTTCCGTGACTGTCTGATTTTCTAGTTGTTATCTTTCCTAGACAGCATCGGAGTTAGGTGAGCCGCTCAGGGTCTTACCTTCTTCCTCCTGTTTCCTACCATCTCCTCCGAGTCACCAACGATGCCCCACGTGCCACCCTGCCTCCTCCTCCGTGACACGGGGGCTCATTAACCCCGAGTAAGTCTTGCTGGCAATGACTCCTCCCTTCCAGTTACTGCCCTAGTGCTCCTTATCTTGCTCCTCCATGCCTGGCTACAAAGACCCAAGGCCAACCCAAAGAAAAGTATTTATGGTCTCAGTTCCTCCACCTCCTAATTGCCTCCCTCTGCTCCCTAAGAGATGGGATCAGGTACCAGGTATGCCTGTTCCCGCTTGCCTGCCGCCTCCTTGGTAGGAGACGGAGCCTAATGGCACGGGGCCAGGGCTGTGGTGTCACTTCCTTTGCCATTGCTAAGTGCCCAAATGCACTGTATCTGAGTCCCCGTATAATCACTTTTTGCTGGGAATTTACGGAGGAAATTCCTTTCACAAACTCCACCACTTCAGATGCCTCGAGTTAGAATCATCTGATGAACTTTACCATCCCAGTCAGCTCTGGGAGGGGAGAGGCCAGGCAGTTTTACCACTTCCACTGTAAAGCTCAGAAGATGGAGTGAAATGACCTGCCCAAGATTTTACAGCAGGTTACAGCAAAGCAAGTGGCACCCTCAGAGATACAAATTAGAGCTTATGGGAAAACTTCTAAATGTTTAATGAAAAAGATGTAAAGCCGTGCAATATTTACATACAGGTAAGAAAAGGAAGCAGAATCCACAGTGCGCGTCTTGTGGAGCTGTGACAGAGTTCACACGCACCCCATGAAACAGGAACTGCTCCTCAACAGGTCCAAACGGGAGTCCAACACAGGCAGACGTTTCCCAACCATCTCCAGCAAAGCAGACTCTTCAGATCAGATCAGCAACTGAAAGCAAGACAGATATGCATTAAGGAATAATGCAAACAAAATGAAAACTTGTAAATTTAACTAAAGGCTCACAGCAGACTTCTCAAAACAAAAAAAGAGAAAAAGCTCAAGTGCCCCACATGAGAACTGGACACTCTCTGTCCACCGGCGGCAGTGGCCGGCTGCCCTCCCTTACCGTTCATCGGCATCTCGTCGATCTGAGTGGAGTAGTACTGCTCAATGTCTCGCAGGATGCGGATGTCGTCATTCTTCACAAAATTAATGGCCACACCCTTTCGGCCATATCGACCTGATCTCCCGATTCTTCAAGAATAAAGCAAAATCACTTTAGTAAATACAGCAAAAAATATTTCAGTAAATCTACCAACAAGAGCGAAGCCATGAAAAGCTTGCACCCGTACCTGTGTATATACAACTCTCTGTTGTTGGGCAGGTCGTAGTTGATGATGAGGGACACCTGAGGGACGTCCAACCCCCTGGCCCAGACGTCTGTAGAAATGAGCACTCGACTGCAAACAGAAAAGGCATCTGAGGCAATCACCTTCATCATAAAAGTGTAAGACGGGCTACGAGTCCAAAACAGGCGTGAAGTGTGAGGGACAGCACCAGAAAGGGGCATTTGGTATATTTAGTTACTGAGGTCATGTG